GTCCAGAGGGGTGCGCGGGGCGGGGACATGGAGAGTCGCAGAGGTGGGAACGCGCGGCCCCACATCCTCAGGGTGGTGGGTTCGAAATGGGAGGGACACCTGGGGAGCGTGGGGTCCCAGCCCCAGCCAGACCACCCAGTCCAGGGTCCCAGCACCAGGAAGATAAATCCCCATAACTTCGGGCTGTAAAAACCAGTGGGGGGTGAGGGGCAAAAGAAACTGCACCCTCCCAAAGGCCCGGCAGGGACTCAGCACTCCGGCAGACCCGCCGCTCTGGGATTCAGCACCAGGGCCAGCTGGAAGGGCGCCAGTGGCACAGGGGGAGAAAGTGAAGCGTGAGTGGGGGGTGGCTTCCTCGTGGGCAAAAGCACTGTCCCCTCTGCAAGCTCTCCCCCACAGAGCAACAGAGGGGTGACCCGGGTGCCCCGCCCTAGAGATTACCTAAGGCTCCGCCCCACACAGGTGCCTTTTCTGCAACAGGCCACCTCCCAGGACAGGGAGTCACAGCAGCTCTACCCAATGCATGGAAACAAACACAGGGAGGCTGCCAAAACGAGGAGACAAAGAAACATGGCCCAAATGAAAGAATGAAACAAAACTCCAGAAGAAGAACTAAACGAAATGGAGATAAGCAACCTATCTGATGCAGAGTTCAGAACAGCAGTTACTATCAGGACGCTGCAGGAACTCGGAGGGCACTTCAACAGCGCAGAGAAGACCCAGGCAGAGATGAAGGCTACACTAAGTGACATAAAGAAAAATCGACAGGGGACCAACAGCAGAGAGGCCAAGGCCAAGATTCAAATCAACGATTTGGAACATGAGGAAGGAAAACAGCATTCAATCAGAGCAGGAAGGAAAAAAAATTCCAAACAAAAACAAGGAGAGGCTTAGGAACCTCTGGGGCATCTCCAAATGTACCAACACCGAATCATACGGGTGCCAGGAGAAGGGGAAGAGCAAGAAACTGAACACTTATTTGAAAAAATAATGAATGAAAACTCTCCTAATTTGGTGAAGGAAATAGACACACAAGTCCAGGAAGCACAAAGAGTCCCAAACAAGACTGACCCAGAGAGGACCACACCAAGGCACATCACAATCAGAATGCCAAAGATGAAAGAGGAGAGAATCTTACAAGCAGCAAGAGAAAAGCAGAGTGTTATCTACAAAGGAGTTCCCATAAGACTGTCAGCTGATTTCCCAAAAGAAACTTTGCAGGCTAGAAGGGACTGGCAAGAAGTATTCAGAGTGATGAAAAGCAAGAACCTTCAGCCAAGATTGCTCTATCCAGCAAAGCTATCGTTTGGAATGAAAGGGAAGATAAAGTGCTTCCCAGATGAGAAAAAAACTAAAGGAGTTCATCATCACCAAGCCATTATCACATGAAATGTTAAAGGGACTCATTTAAGAAAAAGATCAAAACTATGAACAATAAAATGGCAACAAATTCACAACTCTCAGTAACTGAATTCAAATAACAAACTAAGCAAACTAGAACAGAAGCAGAATTACAGAAATGGAGGTCACAGGGAGGGTTATCAGCAGGGAGGTGGAGGGGGGAGAACAGGGGAAAAGGTACAGGGAATAAGAAGCATAATTGGTAGGTAAAAAATAGAAGTAGGAAGGGCTGGGGTGGTGGGGAGGGGTGTGGGGTAAAGACAGAAAACTGTACTTGAACAACAGTAAGAAATGCTTATAAAAACACAAACAAAAATCAAAATAGACAGAGATGGTAAGAGCAGTATAGGAAATGGAGAAGCTAAAGAACTTACATGCAGGACCCCCAGACATGAACTGAGGGGGGTATTGTTGGAGGGAAGGGGGTGCCGGGCAGAGGGCAGGAGATACAGACGCGCTGAACGGCACCGTGCAACTTGGTCAACAAACCCCAAACGCGGGAATTCCCCCAGGCCACCCGGAATGGAAACTGTTCAGAAAGGAAAGGGGTGGACCGGAACCTCTGGACAAGACTCCAGAGACAGAGCGAACTGGAAGGTGCAAGGCCCAGCGGCAGTGTCCTGGGGCTGGTGGGGGGCAGGCGTCAAGAGGCCCCGGTCGCTGGGGGAGGCAGGAGACCACCTGCTCCTCCTTCAGGAGGGCGGAGGGCGCCTCGGAGGCTGGCACGCCCCGCTTGTCCATACTTCATGATCACTCACCCAACTGTTTGCTTTGTGAGATTCTTCTGTGCTGGTGTTTCATTGTTAAAAACAGCAGCCCTGGCTGGTGTGGCTCAGTGGACTGAGCGCTGGCTTCTGAACCACAGGGTTGCTGGTTCGATTCCCTGTCAGGGCACATGCTTGGGTTGTGCGCCAGGTCTCCAGTAGGAGGCGCACGAGAGGCAACTGCTCATTGATTTTTCTCTCCCTCTTTCTCCCTCCCTTCCCCTCTCTAAAAAATGAATAAAATCTAAAAAAAAAAAACCTCACCAGCAAAGGTGAGGTTTTGTGACTTGGAGCATATGGGTGTCCCCTGGCGTGGGGCCTGGCATGGGTGGCCGGTGGGCAGGCCATGGCCACAGTGGGCGGGCAGCCAAGCCTCTGGATTTTGGAGAAATAAGGTAGTCTCTCACTGAGGCTTCGTTCTGGCCCAGGTCCTGTACCCAGGGTGGGGCTTGGACTCGTCCCAGTTCAAGGACAGCCGTCTCTGCTCCCGGCTCCGTCTGAGGTCTGCGCCCAGCCCCACGCTGGCCGGCCCGCCTCCGCCACCACCCCTCCTGTACGCGACCCAGGGCCGGCCCACACTTGGCTCTGCATAGACGGACCTACCCCCACGGGCCTCTTTCTCACGGAAACAGGTCACCCTGTCTCCTGCGGTGCCCTGCGACTCGCCTTCGGGATGAAGGCGCCATGGGCAGTGCTGGTCTCCCAGGGCTGACCATGCAGTGTCCTGTGCCACGACTGAGTGGCTTAAAATGGACGAGTCCATTTCCCTCCATCCCAGGGGTCAGAGGTCGGACGTGGGCCTCCCCGGCTGGCTCCGCCTGCAGGTGCCAGGGCAACCCTGTGGCCTTTTCCAGCTCCTGGAGGCGTCCTCCTCCAGCAGCGTGGGCGGGGCTGCTCTCCTGCTCCTCCCCCCACCCATCCCCCTCTGCCACCGGGACAACCGCCCCCCTCAGAGTCTGCCGGCTCGCAGATGGAACTCCCCTGTGCTGTGCAGGCTGGCATGGTCCTGGGCTCTTGGGGACCGGGGTGTGGACACTTTGGGGGACCATACTCTGCCTCCACGAATGGGCTGGTGAGCCGGTGCCAGGACCCAGGCCTGAGGCTGGCACAGGGGACAAGTGGGGGGGCTGAGACCACACTGATCCAGCAGTCAGCTGGAGGCCGCTGTCGTACCCCCCCGCCCCGGCACAGCCTTGCGGCTGCCACTACACAGGACGTACAGCGTCAGAAAATCATCCATTGGCGTTGATCTGCACTTTGCTACTTTGTACGCCTTAATAGTCATGGATGTCCTGGGCCACCAGAACTTTTGAAATCAGCGACCTGAGTGGCTGGGAGGTGACCGGCGGCGACCGAGCGCTGGGCCAGCTCGTGCCGCGGGCGGATGCTAAGCCCACACCCGAAACACACTCACCCCCAGAGCCCCCGGGAGCTCCTCCCAGCCTCGACAATGCGTCCGTAGTCCTCGGGCCCAGACTCTCACTACCCAGAGTCTCTCCCAAGGAGAGCGCTCTAAATACAGAAAGCCGCTCCAGCCCGAGGACCCTGGGCGCAGCCTTCGCTGGGAGAGTGACTAATTAGAGACAAGCTAATTGTCCCACCGCGGGGACCAGCGGGCGGTGACAGCAAAGCCCTGTCGTTCAAATGCCGAGCCTGAGGAGCACAGCCCAGGTGCTTTCCCGGCGGGGAGGGAAGCAGGCCCCTGCGTCGGAGGGCCCGGCCCTCGGGCACCTTTGATAGCACGCGAGGAGGGCGCGGGCACAGGTCCTGGCTGCAGGGCCCCGCCGGCTGCTTCTCCCCTGGGCTCTCCTGAGCGTCCCGCACTTCCCGGGGTCTCCCGGGACGCACGTGACACAAAATCCTGCCTCGAACGGAATGAGTCGAGTCACTGGTGTGCAAACTGAACTCAGGGCCTCTGTGTGTGTGGACGTGTGTGCACGTTACCTTCCGGTGCATGAACATGTGAGAGTCTGCGTGTGAATGCCGGCGAGTGTGCACCCGTGTGGATGGGGATAGATGGGACACGGGTGTCTGTGAATGCGGGTGTGAATCCATGCACGTGCTCATGGGAATGGGCGGGACTGTGGACGCATGTGATGAGCCTACATGTGTGTGCGTGCCGTGTGAGTATAAACGTGAGTGTGGGGCCCTGTGAGTGCACGTGACGGTGATGTCAGGTGTGCACCCCCGTGTGAATGTGAGGCCGTGAGTTTGTGAGCGTGCTGCTGGGGAGGAACGTGAGGGTGCCCGTGCGTGCGTTGGGTGCCAAGTGTGTGTGCTGGGTGAGCCCCCAGCGTGACCGGTGGCATGCGTCGGAGGGGCTGTGATCTGGTGGCACCGCTCCGAGGGCCAGGCCCCCCTGCAGGTCTGGCCTGCAGCCCAGCACCCGGCCCGGCCCAGGCCCGGTCTGAGCGCACACTGTGCAGGGCAGCCCCAGCTCCCGGCCCTCCACACGCCCGCCCCACGACGCCAGAACGGCCAGCAACAGCCCCGCGGCGACCCTGCTGTCGAGCTGCGCGGAGGAGCGGCCAGAAGAGCCTGGCCGGTCACCGTGCCCACATCTCCAGCCCCGCAGCGGAGGCCAGGCCTTCCGTGGGGGAGCAAAGGGGAGGGCGCTGGGCCACTTCTGACGGAGAGTGGGAGAGCGCCCGGTCCCCTCTCTGGGTCTCGTGTCTCCACCCAGGGCATCCCGACACAGCCAAGCAAGGCACCCCTCCTCAACACGCGACGAGCAGCAGGTGCCAGGCGTGCCTCGGCCGCCCCCCGGGGCTGGGGACAGGGCCACAGGGGAAAGGCCCGACGTGTCCCCGCTGGAAGGAGCACAGAGCGACCTGCTTTTCCAAACCAAGCCCGCTTTATTGGAAACTTTCCACATGCCGCAAATGTACATGAAAACACCCACTCAAAACGCGGTGAGAACACACGACTCAGGAGCAGGCGTCGCCAGGCGGACGAGGTCTGTCATCACAAGGCAGGTGACACGCATCCGGTCAGTGAGCGCCTGGCCGAGCACACAAACCGTGAGGCCCCCAGAGGCTACGCCGCCCGCGGGGAGCACGCTGGGCTCAGCTGTCTCCCGTCTGAGTTGCAGGCGGGCTGGGGTGGGGCGTCCTCAGCCGGGGGGGCCACCGGGCCCGCCGTGTGTGCCACGTGTCGCCCTCGCCCCTGCAGGGGCCGGCCCACACCCACCGCCGCCGCCGGGGAGCATGGCAGCGTGGCCTCCTCAGACCCGCCCGTCCAGGCCCTGGCCAAGAGCAGCCGCGGTCACCATGATCCCCGGTCCCCCGGCCAGGAGCGCAGTGGGAGGTGCTCTGCCCCTGCAGCAGTGACGCAAAGCCCGCCCTGGAGTGCTGGGGGAGCTTTAGAACACAGGGTCACCCCGGGACATTTCTGGTTAGAACCCTGCGTCCCTGGGGCGGATGAGACCGGTGACCACCACAGGGCCACTGAGCCTCGCCCGCACAACCCTGTCCCTTTCCGGGCAGTGCAGGGAGGGACTGGAGCAAGCCCACGGGACTCTGGGCACCCGCGTCCCACCCATAGCCCCTCACCTCCGGTGTCCCGGCTGAAACCCTGGGACCCACTGCCAACGGCCACACCCACACGCCGGCATCCTCACCCGCAGTTTCCCGTTCCTCTCTTACACGGTCTGAACGATTCTCAGATCCGAAAGGAGCAAAGGACGCGGCGAAAAAGGCAGCAGGAGGCTGTCGCTGCCCCGGTGCCACCGAGGCCTGGGGCGTGTGCCCTGGGCAGGGGCCTCCTGGGCACGGGCCGGAGGGCCCCGGGCAGGAGCAGGCGGCGGGTGCCCCTCTCAGACGCTCCCGAGGCCCCCCTGCCCGCTGTTCCAGCCCAGGCCATGCCACGCTCGGTCCCCGCGGCCCCGGGAGGGCGGCCCTCGGCGTCCAGCCCTGCGGAGCTGCCCCCGTCCCCCAGCCAGGGTGTCTGCAGACCCGGCCAGGGCAGAGAGCGCCCTCCCACCGCGCACACGGGCCTGGGACGAAGGTCCCTGGAGCTGCGTCTGCTCGGCGCTCAGAAGGGCCCTGGGAGGCAGGGAGAAAAGTCCCCGTCAGACGGACGGGGCAGCAGGGTGTGCCCGCTCGGCCTCCTGGGCTCTCGGCAGAGGCGCGGGCACAGGGGGATGGGCAGAGCCTCGGGGCGGCGGGGGGGAGGGGGGGCAGGGCTCTCTCTTTTCACAAAGCGGTAAACGCCCGGCCTCTCCTTCCTCATCCCCTCTCCCTCGTGGTGCTCGCGCTCACACACCACGCACACGCGAGTGTCCACAAGTGACTCAATCACACGCGCAGAGCCGAGCACAGGTGTGCGCACAGACACACGCGCCAGGCCCCTCTCCGCAGGCAGCATATGGCCCGCCGCCTAACAGCCCGGCTCTGCCGACTGGGGACCATTAGGGTGGGCTCTCCTCCCAGTGTAGATGCTGCAGAATGCAAACTGCAGTTAACACCGGTGCCAAAACGGCACTTAGAGAGGATGAGCGCATCACTAGCATCTGGTGGGCCCTGTCTGGGTGCAGGGGCGGCGGAACGTCCCGCTCTCGGGGAAAGGATGGTCGTGGGGGACACGGAGCATGGTCCCCCGCTTCCCGACGCGGCCCGCGCCCCCACCCCCACCGTCAGTTGGCGTGAGCGGCACTCCCGGGCAGGGGTGCGCACTCGCCGGGGCGGCCGTCAGACAAGGGCTCCAGCCACAGCCACAGCCTCTGGATTCCTTCCCGGGGGGCTCTGGGTGAAAGGAGAGGACCCTCAGAGCCGCCGGGGGCCCCAGAGACGACTGGGTCACCTGTCTTCCTCCTGGGCTGCATCCCACCTTCCCCATCGCCCTCACCTGGTGGTTTCTAGGTGCCGCCGGGGGAAAAAAGTCCAGGCATTGGGGGGGCGCGAAGCTCCCGCCTCTCAGACCCTCACCCACAGCGGCTCGGCCCCGCCCCTCGGGGCCCGGGGGGGTCCATCCCGCAGCCTTCGAGGCCGAGAGAGACTGGACTGGGCCGCAGGGTCAGGCCCACGAAGGTGAAGGCTGCAAATCGGGGTGGGATGGAGGCCGCTGGGGGGGCACTCACCTGGAGACAGAGCGCCCCCAGCTGCAGCCCAGGAGAAGGAAGGGTGCCCCGTGGTGCTCAGAAGACGGCAGGAGAACTGGGGGACGGGGGCGGAGCGCTCGCCCGGCTGCACCTTTGCAAACACGCCATCACCCGGTCGGGGCGGAGCGGAGCAAAGCGCAGCTGCCGGCAGCCGGCGCACAGGCTGCGCTCGGGCGGCAGAGCACTGGCGGCCTGCGCCCCAGGACGAGGACTGCAGAACAGTGCGCCCTTCTCAACCTCAGGGAGGGGCGTGCGAGTGATCCCAAGGGGCCAGGTCCCCGGTGCGTTAACAGCACGTCAACTGCAGGACGAGCTACGTGGAATGGGGCGACCGTCACCATGGAAACAGAGTAGGAAGATGGAGGGTCGAGGACCAGCAGGGCAGCTGGATGCGAGCAGGGCCTTGTGGGCTCTGCACCCCCAGCCCAGAGGGAGAGGGCAGCATGAGCCAGGCCCAGCGTGGGGAGCCGCCCAGCAACGCCCGGCACGGGAGGGCCTCGAGGCCGAGAAGGCAGGGGCTGCAGCTGGGCACGGGGGTGCGGGGGCTGGGCCCTGGACCCTGGACCCTGGGAGGTCGGGCCTCAGTTTTGGAACAGCTGCGCAGGACTTTTAAAGTGCAGAATACAGCCATCTGGGATGGGGAGGCCGGTCACTGCTCCGGCCTCAAACACCCCCGCGCGGCCCTGCCACGCACCCGCCCGTCCGCTGCCCCAGAAGCACGGACCTCCGCAGGGAACTGCGGCCGCGGGGGAGCCCCCCACCCCGCCCCGGGCGCCGCCCAGCACCGCCTGGACCTGGTCCGACGTCGGCTGGCAGGAAACACCGGAGGCGCAGCTGGGTGCACGCGTGTCTTACTGGGAAAGACAGCCCCCACGCCTGTAGCCACAAGACTTCCAAGCTCCTCGCTGCGGCACTGCTGACCGGAGGGGCCGCGCATCTCACAGGGGAGCACGCCCACCCACATGCACAGCCTCCCCCAGCCCTGGGCCTCAGGCCACCCATCCGTGCAGCCCGGTGGCAGGTGGCCAGGGACACGTGAGCAGAGGGACACTCCTGGGGGTCGGAGTGAGGGGCAGTGTGGGCCAGACGGCGCTCCGGGGACCGGGCCGGAGCCCCAGGGAGCCAGGGCATCACGGTCTGTGACTCAGTTCAAAACCGCCCTCGGCCGGGTCTGAGAGAGGCTGCCACCCGCTTGCCCTGCCTGTCCGCCTCGCACCGTCGCAGCCCACGGTCCACTGAGTGAGGGGTCCTCACCGGAGGAAACAGGAGGAAGCGTCGGAAGCCCCGGGGGGCTGGGTGGGGGTCAGGGGCCCAGGAAGAGGCCTCCTTTCCTCCTGTGACCCACCCGGGGGTCCTGGTGTCCGGCAGGTGAGGCGGAGGAGATCGGAGGTGGCCCGGGCAGGGGCTCGGCCTGCTGCTGGCCACCCCTCACCACCACAGGTTGGGCGGCTCCTCGGCCACTCGGCTCTTGAACAGGGTGATCTCGTCCAGGTGCACCATGGGGACGTCCCGGATGACGTCGGTCAGGCCCTCGTGCAGCAGGGGGAAGATGACGACGTTCAGCGCGGGCCGCTCCGCCTGGAAACTGAAGCGGAGGAGGCCGTTAGCAAGCCCCGAGGCCGCCCGCCCCACCCGTGGGTGCCCGGCCACCTGCCGGACCCTCGCCCATGGCTGGCGCAGAGGGGCACCGACTCTACCCGCTGGGGCTGGAGGAGAGGTCTCTGGGGCGTCACCCTGCTGCCATCTGGGCCCCCATGGAGCGCCAGGCCAGGGAGTGCAGGCAGAATGGGTCAGAACAGCCCCTGCATTCCTGGGTGTGGGAGGGGGCAGGTTTTGGGGTGGGGGCAGCGCCCCAGGAGTTGCAGAACCCAGGCCAGCACCCGCAGTGGGCGGAGAGAAGGGACAGGGCTAAACCCCACAGGCAATCCCGGAGCGGTGCAGACGCCTGAGTCAGGTGAGGCATCAGGTCTGCCAGGGAAGGGGACCAAGGCAGCCACTGGGACTCAGGAGCCACTGTCTGCACAGGTGACAAGTGGCTGCCAGACCACCTCCCCGCCGCTGCACCCACAGGGTCCCCTCCAGGCCGTGGGCGAAAAGCACAAGCAGACAATCTCCGCGGAGCCTCGGCTGGGCCCAGGGCTGTGCTGGGCGCCAAGAGACGTGCTGCCCCGCGCCCCCCGCCCCAAGACCCCCTTCCCACCTGAGGAAGCAGCGCTTGGGGAGGGGACGCCCAGGCCACTGTCCCTCCGCCAGTCACCAGGGGAGACGGGCCCCTCCCTCCCTATCAGCCTGGGACTGGCCCCCGTGCAGCAGCCTGGACACAAAGCCCAGCGCCACGGGGGGCGCATGGAGAAAGGGGACGCCGTGGACCCCGGGAACAAGCCAGGACGCCCAGAGTGACTCTAGTCACAGGGAAACCGTCTGTCCCTCGGGTCTGGGCCTGCAAGAGGCGGGGACATGCCGCCCGACAGGGGACCTGGGCACTTGCCAAAAGCAAAGCACGCCGCCCTGCCGCAAGGGGAGGAGGAGAGCCAGTTCCCGGCCCCCCTGCCCCTCCCCCGCGGCCCCAGCGCTGGATTAACGACTCCTGGCGAGGAGATGCCAGGAAAGCACTCGTAAAACTTGATGTTCGGGCTGTAAAGATGCCGAGGAAACGCCTCCTGTTCTGCGCACGACCTTTTCCTCGTTCTGCCCTCGTTCTGCTCGAGGGCAGCGCGGTCCGTGGCCATGAACCCCGCAGGCCAGTCCTCGCCGGCACACCCGCTGCGCCGCCGACTTGACTGGAAGCACAACAGTCTCAGATGTGGGTGCGCGCGCAGGCGCCGCGCCTGCCTGCCCGCCTCCCGCCGCCCGGGGCTGCAACAAGCCGTCAGTTCGCTGAAGGGGATGCTTTCCCAGCAAACGCAGGAACGTAGCGGCTGGGGGCCCTCCCAGAAGGAAACCCACGGCCCTCGGAGGGCCTCCCCTCGGTCCGCACGGGGCGGGCCCGGGCCAGGGCAGCCCTGCACGAGCACGCCCGCCCCTTCTCTCTGTGAAGCCCCTCCCTGGCCCCCCCACCAGGAGCCCACCACACCGTCGACTGGGCCCACACTGTCCCCACGCGGGGAGGGCCTTGCTCGGAGAAAAGCCTGCAGTCGGTGACGACTAAGTGAGGAAGACGGCGGACGCAGAGGAAGAAACCCCTCGCTTCCCAGGGCAGGGCTGGGGACCCCTCCGGGGGCCAGGGCCTGCGGGTGGAGGTGAGTTCCCGGCCGGGCGGGGGCTGCGCGGCCCATGTGCTCTGTGTAGCCCGTGCACCCTGTGTGCGTGTTATAACATTCTCTGGTATGACTCAGCGTAGTCTGGGGTGTAAGTAAACAGATTTGATGAAATGAAACAAAACTCCTTCCGGCCACACTCGCCTAGAAGCCAGGCTGGGCCGGTTGCTGCAGGCAGCACAGCTCACCTCTCGAGGCCTTTCCCCGGACCGGGGCTCATCAACCACGTCTCCAACAGCCTCTGGCCTGGGGGACAAAGGCCAGGCCTGCGAGGCCTCCTGCGGAACCCCCCAGGCCCGGCACTGGGCAGCAGCCCTGGCCTCCCCGGAACCGCCCCCACCGGGCTGTCACCTCGGGACCGAAGAGGCAGGACCCACAGGAGCCAGGCACAGCGCCTGCGCACGGGGCTGCTGCCTGACTCTGAAGCCCAGCACCAGCAAGCTCGCCGCCCGGCCCCCAGGAGAGGCAGCGAGAGGGGACATGAGGGGCGTGACCCCGAGGGTCACGGAGCAGCTGGGCAGAAGGGCCGGCCCCTCGAGGGGGGCCTGAGGCATCACGGGGGCTTCCGAAAAGACGAAAAGACGTCTGAGAGACGTCAAGCTCACTCCGCCACCGCAGCGGTGGGGGCGGGGCTGACCGCACCGCAGGAGGCGCCCACCCGGGCCGTCCGCACACACGCAGGGCGCAGGGCCGCAGGGCCGGGAAGGCTCGGGCCCGGAGGCTGGCTCTGAGCACTCCAGGGAGCAGGAGTGACCCTGCACCTAAGGACCACCTGCTGGGTTTGCGTCTTTGCCTGGGAAACTAGAAACAAAACGGAAGTTGACAGCTTCTCCCCCCCACGTAAAGGTCTTACAGAAGAGCCACAGGGATGAGACACTTCATGAACCTCACTTGCGCTACAACCACCACATTCGAGAAGCACCGAGGCAGACAGCGGCCAGAGGTCAGCCGCCCTGGGGCCCTGGGGCCGACGAGGAACACCCACCGCAGGCTCACAGAGCCCAGCTGCCTGTGGGGACGGCGCCCACCTGGGCCCGCGCAGACCCCGGCTCTGCCCGGCAACCCGCCTCGAGACCAGGGGGAGCGGTGGGCTCCGGCCCCCGCACAGAGGACGGGCCCGACGGACCTGGGGCTGAAACACTTGCCCCGGGCCGACGGCTGCTGGCCTGCTGCGGAGTCCCCGGGTCCCACGCGGAGGGACAGAAGCGCAAAGCCGCGGGCCCTGGACCACTGGAGCCGGCGGTGCAGGTCAGAGGCTGCAGGCACGGAGAGGCCTGTTGGTGACCTGCCTTCCGAGGGACTGGGGTGCAGGGGGGCCGGTGCAGGGTCCACTCCCAGCAGACCCCCCTTGGCCTCCCCAAGTGACGACACAGGTTTCCCGAATCCCCAAGACCCTTCGTGCAGCGAAGGAGAAGAAACACTTGCGCCCCACTGTCCTTCCTGAACACGCCTGGCTCCTCCACGACAGGCTCTCCCTCCGAGGGCAGCAGCGCGTCCTCGCCACTCACCAGCCGCACCCCGTCCCGCTGACTGCAGGCCCCCCGCTGGTTCCCCGCCTCCACCTGCGGGCCAGTCGGCGTGTTCTCAGCCCTGCAAGAAAGCCAGGCCCGTCCTGAACTCGCCTTACAACTGAGGGAGCAGCCACCCAAGGCCAGAGCTTCCAAGCGCCAGGGGCCCAAACCCAGGTCCACTGCCAGACCCGCAAGGGCCCCGGCCACACAGAACAACTGCAGCCCCGGCTGGTGTGGCTCAGTGGACTGAGCGCCAGCCTGTGCACCCAAAGGTCGATGGTTCAATTCCCGGTCAGGGCACGTGCCTGAGCTGCAGGCCAGTACAAAAGAGGCAACCAGTGTTTCTCTCTCTCACGTGGGAGTTTCTTTCCCTGTCTTCCTCCCTCCCTTCCCCGTCTCTGAAAAGAAAAAGAAATGACTGTTGATGACCCAGCTGACACTCTCTCCGGTGAGAGTGCTGCAGACGGGACACCCGCCCCGCCCCGCGGCTGAGTCACAGGGAGAGAGAGGCAGGTGAGCGACAGGTCAGGCACCAGGTGCTGCTCCGGCCCAGTGCCTCTGAGCTGGAGGCAGGGAAAGGGTGAGAAAGGAGGGGCGCCAGAAGATGAGGCAGGGAGGTCTGGTCTCCAGCGCCTCGGGTTCACCTGGTGGCCCAGCGGGCGGAGGGGACCAACCCAAGTGCTGAGGTGGAGTGCAGGTTACTGTGAGCCACGGCGCCACCTGCTGGGCACTTGCAGGAAAGCAGCAGGGACCCCGCAGCCCAGAGGGGCAGGAAGGCCGGCCCACCCTGTCTATGCGGACATTCATCCAGGCCCACGCCGCCTCCCCGCCTGGACAGACCCCTGGGGGAGCCGCCCCGCAGCGCGCCTCCGGGAAGACATCTGCGCAGACGCACAGGAAGAGGCTGCTCCCGTCGTCGGTGGGGCTGTCAGCAGACCCGGCGTGGGTGCGGCCCGCTGACCGGAGCGTCCTGCAGCCTGTGAGCCTCGTGCAGCAGGTGGGGGCTGGGGGCCGGGGAGCAGGCAGGCCCCGGGACCCGGGCTTGCTGCAGGAGCACACACGGAGGCCACGGAACGGGACCAAGGCATGCTCACCGCCACACCCCCAACCCGAGAGAGCCAGCCACTGCCCCCACAACTGGGCAGAGCGGCAGCACCCCACCTGCACCCGGGTTCCTGAGGCCCAGCGCTGGGAGCCGTCCGGCGTGTAACAAAGCTAGCCCTCCGACCCCCGAGCGCCCGGCAGTCAGCCATGCCAGCCATGGAAGCCGCCGCGACCCCGCATGACGGGCACCGAACAGCACTTACAAAGATGGTCTGCGGCGTCATTTATCGACAGGAGAAATCCACGACGAGCGTGAAATCAGAAGAACCAGGCGGGAACCGAGTAAGAGCTCCACCCCGGTCTGCGGGCCACGGGGACCGCCGGCTGGTGGGGCCGCAAGGAGCCTTCACTCAGCGATGGCTCGACGCAGCGTCTGCGTTTGTAGAGATACTACAGACGCGAGTTACCTTTACAGCCGGGAGAGGAAAACCTCAGCCGGGGTTTCTCTGGGGAAATCCACTGGCAAACCGCAGAGATGCGGTCCACCACGCAGTCCCCGCCACTGGGCCGCCGGGCCCCGTGGTTCTGCAGACCTGGCTGACGGCCCGGCCCGGTTTTTGGGAACAGCTGGGCCTCCACCCTGTCACCTCCCCCACCAGTGGGGGCACAGAAAGCGGGAGGAGGAAGCTGCGACCCTCTTGGCCATGCTGAAATGAGGGCGCCCACCACCAGCCCTCCCTCAGGGGCACCACGGCACTCCCTCCGCAGAGGTCTCCGACTGCCCCCGCCCCACCAGCTCAGGTCAAGTTCTCCCCAAGAAGCACCCCTGACCCGCATTCCAGTTCTGGGGGCTCCCCTGAACCCCACTCCGACTCCAGGACGGCCACCCTCACTGGGCAGCTGGGCCCAGCTGTGCAGGACAGCAGGCCAGAGGGCACCCACCTGCCACACAGTCCCCCGCAGGGCGCAGGAGGGGACCCCAGCCCCCAGGGAGACCGATGTTCTTAAATCCACCACCTTCACCCACCTGCACCCAAGGAGCCCCCGCCACCAAATCTGAACAAAGGGCAGAGATGCAGAAAACCCAGAGGTCAAAGGTCTTTGCATCACGGCACAGGAACAGCAAGTGGAACGGAGGCCCCCATCCCAGGGGCTGGAGACCCAGGAACAACCCCAGAGCCTGGGGAGGCGGTGCTCTGCCTGGAGACCGGGAGGCTGAGACAGAGGGCGCATGCGCGTCCACCCTCCAGACGCGGCCCCCTCAGGCCAGCACCTCTGAAACGGCCGCAGGTGTCCAGCGGCACTGTGTGGACGCCCGGGCCAGGCTGCACGCAGCTGCGGGGGGGCGGGCCCACGAGACAGGAAGGGCGGGCTGCGAGGAAGCCGCGAGGCCGGCTGGAGTCGGAGGTGTCGGCACGAACTCGCTGGACATGAGTGCAGACGCTGGTTGGGGGCGGGGGCGGTGCACCGACCAATTTCCTGCTCTGTCCCGGAGAGGGCCGGGAGGGGGTGATTCCCCGGGGCAGCGGGCACCCTAATGCCCCATCTTGGCTTCTCAACGCTCCTCCCCACACGGAGAACCAGGGCCGATTCCGGGGCCGGGCAGGAAAATGCAGCACGAACCCGGAGCACCCCGTGGCGGCGGAGAGTAAGAAGGCGCTCGGAAAGGAAGGGCCGGACCCGGGGTGGAAGAGCCCGCGGCCACACCTGGGATGGCCCGAGCACCGGCAGGAGCCGTGTGAGCCGTGGGCCGAAGCCCACCGAAGCAGGGAGACACCCACGGGGCCATGTCCTGCGAGGAGACAGTCCAGGGAACCCACGAACAGACGGGGGAGGGGACGGGGCTGTCCCCGCTCCGAGGCCCCGTTAACCGACACAGAGGAAGAACGGAAACGGCAGAGCGTCCCTGGGCAGACGCCGGAGTGGCCCTGGGGCCGGGCCCCACGGGGACGTGGGGGCTGGCGGGGCCGGTCCGGTCCGGCAGGAAACAGGGCGTGTGAGGACTCTTGCGCGGTCTCCCCACGACTGTTCGTGCGTCCGCGTTCGAAGGGAGACTTCGAAGGGAGAAAACCGTCACTTCTGCAGTTTTCTGGCCAAAAGACATCAGGCGAACCCACGCCGATGGCCACTCTGCCAAGCACCAGTGCTCTTCGAGCGTCAGGGTCACAAGAGATCAGGAAGGACCGGGGACGATCGCAGGCTGGAGACTACGGAGACGTGACTGCTGAGCCCAAAGGGGGCCCTGCACGGAGCCCCGGAACAGGAGGGCTGCGGGGAAACTGAGGCAACACGGAGGTCCGAGGCCGAACACCCACAATGCACCACTGTTCCCCCACTCCCACGGCTGCTCTGTGGGGACCCAGGAGGCAATGTCTCAGGGGCTGGAAGGCGAGAATGCTTTGGCCGCTGGGCACGAGGGGGCTTCAGCTGTAGAAAACTGACCCCGTGGCCGAGGGAACGCAAGGAGAGGAGAAGGCCCTGCGGTGGACAGAAAACACCCTCTGCCCGGCGGTCTTGAACTCCAGGAAGGAGCTGTGGGGCACTCGAGGGAGCCTGGAAGGGGGAGAGCGACACCCAGGGCCCCCCCCACTCACCTCCGGAGGAGGGTCTGCTGCAGGCTCTTGCAGGTGGCCAGGGACTCGCCGGTGAACATGTGGCACACGACGACGTGCAGGCAGCGGGCCATGAAGGCCAGCACGGCCTCAGGCTGCAGGGTGCCGCTGCGGGAGACCAGGCACAGCCGCTGCAGCGCGGAGCACTGGCTCAGTGCCTGGAAGAACTGGGCGTTGGCGCTGAAGTAGGGCTGCTCCAGCCTGTGGGGGGAGAGGGGTGTGAGTCCCGCCGGCAGGCCCCCGCCGGAGCTGCTGGGGGGCAGACATGTGTGCAGTGGGTGGGGCCTCTGGTCTTGGGCCCCGAGCACGGCAGGGACCCAGGCCTCCCTAGCCAGCAGCAGGCCCGGCACCCAGCACCAGACAGTGTTGGCCAGGCGGCAACCCCCTGCCGCAGGCCACAGTGACGCTGTTCCCCTCCCTCCACATCCCCCGTGTTCCCCAAGGCCGGCCAGCAAATCCACGCAGCCGCCGCCGTCGCCTGCCCACGGCCCCAGCACTGTGTGCAAGTCACTCCCGGGAGAAACTGTGTCGGACCCGGGACTGCGTCTCTCCGGGCCACACCCCTGCCCACAGTGCAGATGCCCCTCCCCAGGGGCAGGGTGAGCCCTCCATCTGCACAGCTCGCCCAAAAGGAACCCCACGAGGCCTCTTCTCAGCACAAGCTGAGGGGGCCGGGCTGGCGACCTCCCGGCCGGCCCCACAAGGAGGTCTGCAGCGGTGACCTCGCATTGTAAAAGGAGGGGCTTCCAGTGTGGGCGGGAAATGTCCGCACCACCCCGAGAAGGCAGCCGGCCTGCCCTGGGCACAGGGAGTCCCTGTCCAGGCCCCCCAAGTCCCCAGCGGGGGGAGAGAGCCCCGGTTCTCTGGACACAGCAACACAGAGAGAGGCCAAGCCAACCAGGACGCAGGGGAGGAAGGAGCAGTCCCCGACCCCCGAGGGAGCTGCACAGGCCTGGCACTGGTCTCCGCCGCCCCGCCGCCCAGGGACACAGACGGGCCACACCACGGGGAGGGGCCTTCAGAGTCGGGTCTGCGAGGACAGACGGTCGTTGGAGCAGCGGCCCAACAGGCGCCCGCCCCGGCACGGCCTCTGTCCTGTGCCCTGCCGTCCGAAGCCACAGGGCACCGACAGGCCATCGGGAGGCCGGCCCGGACGGGGTTTAGTACGATGCAAGCACAAGTTCTGGCAAGCTCCCGACACCACGGCTGCTGGAGAAACTCGGGTGCTCCCGGGGTGACTGCGGGAAGCCACAAGTCGCCTCCTGCCTACAGTCCCAGGGGCGCAAGAGGGAGGCCTCCAGCCGGGCTGCCCAGGCGGCCCCAGCCGGCAGCCGGGTGTCCCCAGTGGAGCACGCGCCAGCCCCTGGGCCCCTGAACGAGCTGCACCCGAAGGAGCTGGGACTGAGCCCTGGGCACAGCGCAGCGCAGAGCCGCAGGCTCGCCCGGCAGAGGGAAGGGCAGCGCCCTCGCCCCGCGGGGCCGGGACAGTGAGCACGTGCCGCGCCCACGACAGCTGTGCACGTTTTTTCTCAAGGAAGCGCGTGGGCACGCTATTTGGTTCTGTCAGGAACAGCTTCTGGAACCGCCTGCAGGGAGCACCTCTCTGCCAGCGAGAGCCCTGCAGGCACCCGACTGCTGAGCTGAGCGGCGCGGGGAGGGACAGGCCTGCGTCTCCGTCACTAGGTGGCGCCGCAGGTCTGTGCTGCGGCCGAGTCCTCGCTCCGACCTCCTGGGTCACGGACCAGGTAGGCAGGCAGGTCGGCAGACGTGTGCTGTGTGCATGCACATTTTAAAATGTTTCCGACTAGCCAGCCATGTCCAGGCCCTCCCACTCTGCAGGACGCCACCTGTTGCAGGTGATCAGGTGGGCAGGCCTGCGGGGAACGCCCGGTCCACCCTTCCCCGCCCCCTCAGTGGGCTGGCGGAGCGGACCTGAGGCGAGTGACCTTCGGGGTCTGTGGTGAGTGCACAGGATGAGGAAAAGGTGCCCCCCATGACTGGCTCTGCCCAGGGGGGCCTGCGGCCCTTCTCCCTACCAGCTCTGCCCCAGCCCCTAACCAGGAAGGATCTGGCCATCTGGACACCCACCCAACTCCTGGAGAGGTGGCTCAGTTTCCCGGAGGCTCCGTGGGCACAGGCAGGGCTCGGGCTGCTCCCCCCACCCCCACACCCCCACTCTCAGCCTGCCCGGCAGCACCCAGGCCTCTAGGATGATCCTGGGACAGCTTCCGGGGCCTGGCTCCCAACGGCTCTCTCTCGCATCTGCCCAGACGCCTCCCTGATTCCAGGTGGCCGGTGGCCTAGGGTGACTCAGGGCAATGCCCCTCCCTTCCTGCTCCCCGAGGCAGGGCCTCGTCAGTCCCAGGAGGGACGGTGCCCTTCTCTGTCCAGCTGTGACCCTCTGGCTGCCGAGGTGTGCCACAGACCTGCAGCCAGCCAGGCCCCGGCACCGCCTCCCCACGGGAGCGCCCCGGCTGCACAGAGGCGGCTCCCAGCCAGGCCTGGCTGCACAGAGCTCAAATTCACGGGTCGCCCTGGCGGGAGCGGCAGCAGCAGCAGCGGCCAGCCTGGGACCCCGAGGGCTGCCACCTCGGGAAGGCACACCGGGAGGTACAGGAGCTGCCCGTGTGCCCCAGCCTCTGCAGAGTGCAGAACGCCCCCCGCCCCTCCCGCCCCGCCCCCAGTCTGCGGCTGCCGCCCACACAGCCGGCAGCACCTGCTCCTTTCACCCCGGCCTCCCCAAAGAAGGCAAGGATCCAGAGTGCGGGGGCCACTTGGCCGCATTTAGGAAGAGCCAGTGTTCGTTCTGAACGGGCAGTCCTCGGCCCCGATCGGACGTGGCTCCTGGCAGCCGGCGTGCACAGAGGAGCCATTATGAGCTGTGGTCGGGTTCTCAGGCAGCCCACAAAAGCCGTCTATCCAAGCCCCACGGGCCCCCGCCCCCCAGCCACACAACTCTGGCCGTGCACACACAGCCCCACCCCCGAGGAAGACCCGGACCACGGGAATCCCCTCCCAGGCCAGCGAAGCCACTCGGTGACCACTGAATGTGCTGCACTGCCCCACTCAATAACCACCGACCGGCTGTGTCCCCGGGCACGTTCACCAGCTCTCTGGGCCTCACCCTCCTCGTCTGCAAAATGGGTCGATAACAGCTACCCTCCTGGGGCTGTTGAAAAGGGGTCGACACCCGCAGGCACAGGAGAAGCACCATCATGACCGAGACGGCTGGACAGCAGCTGCGGCTGCCGCCTCCTCCTGAAGCTTCTGGAACCCTTGCCCTCTCCACCCGCCTCCTCCCTCCCTGTGGCTGCAGCCCGGTCTCCTGAGCTGGTCCCTCCTCCTCCCTCCCCCACCCCGACCAGTTCCTGTCCCCTGCCTGTGGTATGGTCTCTCCTGTCCCCCCCGTGCTGGCTTGCAGCTGGCTCCCCGACAGGGCCCGGGGCGTCTCACGCTCACGCTGGCACACACACGCCCGCCCCGCACGACCTCCCTCCTCGGCGAGGGCAGCTGCTCCGGCTCAGCCCCCCAGGCCAGACGCCTGTGGCCCGCTCTGCCCAACCCTCACCCCACACATCTGATCAGTCAGCACATTCTCCGGAAAGTCAGGATCCGGCCACTTCGGCCACCCTGCCTTCCGTCCCATCTCCATCTGCCCCGGCAGCCTCCCGCCCTGGCCCCCTGGTCTTTCTCAGCACGGCTGTGTGACCGGCCCTTCCCCCCGGAAGCACCGCCAGTGTCCTGGGCCCCTGCTGCGCCTGGGAGACCCGGCACGTCCGCCTCCAGCCCTGCGCTAACTCAGCTCCGTGCGGCAGAGCAACCTGTGCTAGGGGTGTCCCTCCCTGTGCTAGGGGTGTCCCTTCCGCACGCGCGCTGCCCAACACCTGGCCACTCGCGACACGGACACCGAGCACCTGAAACGTGGCCAATGTCGCCGAAGGACCGAGGGCGGGATTTCGTTGCACTTGAACTTGTTTACAGGTGGGTCGCCCTGTGGCTTGTGGGTACTGCCGGCTGGTGCGCCGTGACCGACTGGTCTGGAATGTTCTCTCCCCTGGTGCTGCTTCGCACACTCAAGTCCCTGAAGCCCTCGCTCAGCTCTCGCCTCCTCCACGGAGTCCTCCTGGACCGCCGCCCCGCAGCCGGGCGCCCTCGCCCCGCGCTGCCCTCCGCCCGGCACCTGCCGGCCGGCGCCCTGCCACGCGCTTTCAGTGCCTGCGCTCGGTGCCGGGCCGTCTCCCACGGACAGGGGTCCCTGCTTTGTTCGCTGTCCCCGGTCCTGGGGCAGCACCTGCCGTGCAGGGCGCTCGCACATTTGAGTGGACGAGGAGCTAGGCCACGGGCGACGCGCCCGCCCCACCTGCCCTCTCGGGAAGAGTCCCTTTCGCCCTAAGTCCCACCTCGCGGGTGGGGGAGCCGGGCACAGGCAGCCCCAGGCTGACCCCGGGTGTCCGACCCCGGGACCCTCCTCCACCCAGGTCCCCCGGACCAGCTCGGAGGCTGCCCCCACGCCCCCCCCAGCTCCGGGGAGGCCTGGCACCCGGAGCCCAGCCCTGCAGCCTGGAGGGCGGGAGCCCCGGCGCTCTGCCAGCCCCCGGCGGCTCTGCACGCAGCAGGCACTTCGAACGCCCTGGGCGAGAGGCGGGCACGGGGACAGAGACGGCGGCTCCCGTCACCCAGGGCACGTCGATCCTACACGGCAGGAGGACGCTGGGGCTCCCTCGACCTGCTCCGCCTCGTCAGAGGGCCGTGTCATAGGGCCGCCTCCATGACAGGGGTCACAGCCGGGGCCTGGAAGCCCCCGGCTCTGGCCCGCAGCACCGAGTAAGCATTTGTGCTTCGGCCCTAGGCCAGGCCGTTCCTGGTGGGCACGGTGACACGTCGCCGCGCCCTCTGGCTCCAGCCTCTCACGGAGACCAGACCACCGACCCAAGGCCCGCCCCCACTCCTCCCCAGCAGAGCCGAGGTCTGCCGCCACCACCACGCCAGGGGGGGTTTCTGGGACGTAGTGCAGCTTCCCAAGATCGGATCTATCAAGACTTCCAACTGCGTCTCAGGGCAGCGAAGACTGACCCTCTCACCAGAGGGCTGGGCCCTCACGACAACACCCGCCGGCCACAGCGGGACGCAGGGGCCCCCGGCCTGCCAGCGGCCCCACGGTGAGAACCCAGGGTGAGTTCTCCGAGGCCGCACGCTGCACCCCCTCTCCCTCTGGGTCGGACCCCCCACCTGCCCCAGAGGGGACCACCCTCACCTCTCAGCAGTGCGGCCCCCACCTCTGAGCCCCGCCCTCCATCTCCTCCGTCCACACCCCAGGTGGGATGCAAAGGGGCCTTTCCCAGCTGGAGGCCGGACCCCTCCTGGTGCCCGGGGGGCTGGAAATCCTGTCCACAGCAGCCCCTGTGGCTCAGCCACCCCGACAGCCTGTCATGAGGGCGACCGGAGGCTCGGCACCACGGCTCGTGAACACCCGCCTGGCTCCCCGACCCTGCCGACTGCGGCTGCCCGAAACCCCGCACCGCCCAGAGCCCATCCCTGCCCAGGGTCCTGGTCAGGCCCTGGCCCCAGCCTCTCGGCCCCCGGAGGGCCGGTCTGGGTCTGGCTCGTCCGGCCAGGTGCACGGCAGGTCTGCCGATGCTCGCCGACGAAGGGCCCTGCTCTCCCCCCGCCACCCCCAGGCCCCGGCGGGCCGGCCGAGGCCGCGGAGGGGCTGCCGGCCCTCACCTGAGGTCCTTCAGCCGCCTGCAGTGCCTCAGCATGTCCGAGAGGGCAGACATGTAGACCACCTTCCCCATCATGCCCAGGTTGGCCAGCGAGAGGGACTGCAGCTGCTGGCACTGCAGGCCGATGCTGACCAGCCCGGAGCCCGTCAGGATGCTGGGCAGCTGCGCCAGCGTCAGGTGCCTCAGGAAGGCCAGCTGGCCGATGGCGGCCACCTCTGAGTCCCCGACGCTCTGCGCCCGGCTGCAGGGCGGGAGGGAGTTGCGGATGGCGGGCTCGTTGCGCGGCATGGCGGAGGAGAAGTTGGACCCGATCAGCTCGAGGCGCTCCAGGAAGGGCAGGTTCTTCAGCAGAGACCAGAACACGGAGGACGGCTGGGGGCCCGCCTGCCCCGGGAAGGGGCTGGGGCTCGTCTGCACGCCGATGCGCACCTTCTTGCCGAAGCCGCAGGGCACCGCGTGCATGGCGGGCTGGGCGGGCTTGCAGCCGGCCCACGGTGCCGAGTCGGCCACGGAGCAGACGGGCAGGGCCAGGGACCGCAGGCGCTGCAGCCGGGCCAGCAGCTGGCACAGGTGCCGGCCGGGGCCCTCGGCGCTGTGGTGGTGGGCGGCCGAGAGGTTCAGGTGCCGCAGGTTGCAGCAGGCCTCCACCAGCGTCTCCAGGATGCCGCTGTCGATGTCGTCCTCCGCCTTGCGCGGCAGCGAGTCCGGGGACAGGCAGTGGACACAGCCGCTGAGGTTCAGGCTGGCCAGGCTGCGCAGGTCCTTGCCGCCGTTGATGACGCGCTGGATCAGGTGGCCGCCGGATAGCGCGCACCGGCTGAAACTGAAGAAGAAGGGGTTGTTGAACTTCATGTGCTGGAGGAGGGACGAGCCGTTGAGCCAGGACTTGGGCAGCTGCAGGGCGTCCAGTGCGACGTTGCGGGCCATGGAGTCCAGCAGGTTCTTGGTGGCCCCACTCTCGGCGAAGCTGCCGGGCACGGAGATGAGGAAGGCGTGCAGGTTCTCGGGCGTGCGGTCGCTGAGCACGGCCAGGTAGAGCCGCACCACCTCCTGGTTGATGTAGCCGGGCGCCAGGCGGGCGTAGAATACCCGCAGGCTCTGGTAGTGCGGCACGTTGCTCTGGCCCACCATGAGCTGGCCCGAGAGGATGGCGCCCTCGCGCGTGCGGTCCAGGATCTCGAAGTAGAGCAGCAGCTTCTCCAGGCTGGTGCAGCAGGGCACCACCCCGTACGAGGGCGTGAACAGCGTCTGCTTGAGCTCCCGCACGCGGCTCAGCGTGGCCTTGCACTCGCCGCTCAGCTGGCTGGCGTCAAAGCCGGGGCTCACGTCGATGGCCAGGGAGCGCAGGTGCTGCAGGGCCGACAGCATCTTGGAGAGGCGCAGGGAGGTCAGGTGGCAGCCAGAGAGGTTCACCTTCACCAGGCTGCGGCAGCGGGCCACGTGCTCAACCGTGGAGCCCGACAGCCAGTAGCAGCCGGCCATGTTGAGCTGCTGGATCTCCCGGCCGATCTCCTTCACCAGCTGCTTCACCTTGTCCTCGCTGGCCTGCAGGACAGGGCGGGTGGGGACAGCAAGGGGGGGTTAGGGTTAGGGTTAGGCGCCGGGAGCGAAGGGAGCCGCCGTCTAGCGTCTAGCGTCCCGCCAACCCCTAGGGTCGCCCTCGCCCCAGACCATCAGGGCCCACGAGGACCCACAGAGGCCCCACCCTCGGGCAGAGGGGACACTCCGGGGAGAGCTGGCACCTCCTCTTTCTCCCCACACACTCACCTCCACCCGACAGCCAAGAGCCCCCTGCTGGGAGGGTGAAACGGTGCAGCTGCGGCAGGAAGGGTGGCGGTGCCTCAAAAACCGCACCCAGAGTCACCAGCAGCGGTGACCCAGCAATCCCACCCCGGGGTGCCCACCCACGGAAACCGAAAGCATGCCCATGGCAGCATCTCCACGATGGTCCAAAGGGTAGGGGCAACCCAAGTGTCCGCCCACGGACGAATAAAGAACAAATGGGGCCCATCCATGCTACGCAATACTATTCAGTCACGGAAAGGAACAGAGTTCTAACCCTGGCTGGGCAGCTCAGCTGGTTAGAGCAGCATCCCGAAATACCAGGGTCACAGGTTCAACCCCCCGTCAGGGCACATACAAAAATCAATGAACGAGTGCGAAAGTAAGTGGAACAATAAATCGACATTTCTCTCTCTCTCTCAAATCAATAAGTAAAATTTTTTATTTTTTAAAGATTTTACTTATTTATTTTTAGACAGATAGGCAGGGAAGGAGAATGAGAGGGAGAGAAACATCAATTGGTTGCCTCTTGCACGCCCCCAACTGGGGACCTGGCCCGCAACCCAGGCATGTGCCCTGACTGGGAATCGAACCGGCAACCTTTCAGTTTGCAGGCCAAGGCTCAGTCCACTGAGCCGCACTGGCCAAGTCACAAGGGTTTCTTCAACAGAATACAAACAGCATGAATTCAAAAGTTCAGTAACAAGCCCTTCACCAAAATTACAGGCTTGTGCTCCACCAAATCCACTGTCGAGGAAGTGGGACGGCAAGCCCCGGACTGCGAAAGAAAACACTCATAATGCGTGTGCCTGACCCAGGGCTCGCGTCCAGAACACACGCGGGACCCTCGGACCTCGCTGAGAGGAAGGGAGATGGTGGTGAGCGGGCAACAGCCTCGCACGACCCCTTCTGAAAAGCTCTCCCGATGGCCCGCACAGCTGACGGAGGCATAGCCCACTGACAGCAGCCTTGGTCGGGGAACGTGAGTGAACAGCACCTTGAGATACCACGCCCCGCCCATCAGAACGGCTAAAGCTCAAAAGACCGACAGCGCCAAGTGCTGGCGAGGACTCAGAGCAAGCAGACAGCAGGCGCCCTGCTGGTGGGGTGTCAGTGGGGCCGCCCCTCCCACATCTGCCACGGAGCCGGCTGCAGAGGTAAGTCTCCCTCCTAGCCCGAGGCCCTCCCGCACGAGGTCCCTGATACCTGCACCCTCCTCCCGGGCGGCACGCTCCCTGTACTTTTCGGCCCCTAGTTTTTGTCACGCAGGTGTCTTGGAGGCTGTTCCTGTCGGGAGTCTGGGCACCCGCCCCCCGCCGCCATGAGCTGCACAGCACCCCTCCACACAGACGGGCGTCTCGGCTGTCCCCCATCCCTGGCCCACACGCGCCCGGCCACGCCCGCGCCTGCCCCTCACCTCGTAGTCCTTCTGCAGCAGCACGGTGTGGGTGAGGCTCTTGTCCAGGCACAGCGCCGCCAGCTTCCGGCAGGTGCGCCGGACGTTCACCACCAGGTCCGTGCTGGGGACGTGGCTCAGGATGTGCAGCAGGATCTCGTCTGAGAAGCCCAGCAGGTGGGCGCCGGCCGGCACCTCGGCCGCGGCGGGGGGTGCGTCGCCATCGCTGGGCGTGTCCTGAAAACACAGGGGCGCCGAATTCCCACGGGGTCCCCGAGGGCAGCCTTCAGCCCGGCCTCCCCAGCCAGGGAGAGTCCATTTCACCAGAAACCTCGGCCGCAGAGCGAGAGCCCGGGACACTCTATGAGCTCGTCTCCGCCTGCACACCGGGACCTCTCTTCACAAACGAGAGACTCGATCGAAGGGCAACTGCACGTTTTCTTTAATGTCAAAGTGACTTTTCCTGCTAAAGACTCTGGTCAAGTCTGGCGTGTTTCAGACTCAACTTAGGCGCACTGGCCGAGGTCCTCCGCTGGTGACATCTGCTGCCCTCCCCCTCTGCCCCACAATGTCAAGTTGTAGTGTAACCCTTGGGGAGAATTCCACCCAGAAACAACAGTAAGCCTGACTGGTGTGGCTCAGTGGACTGAGCACCAGCCGGCAAACCATAAGGTCATCGGTTCAATTCCCAGTCGGGGCAGGTGCCTGGGTTGTGGGCCAGGTCCCCAGTAGCAGGTAAGCAAAAGGCAACCACACACTGATGTTTCTCTCCCTCTCTTTCTCTTCTCTTCTCTAAAAATAAATAAATAAAATCTTTCCCCAAAAATCTTTAAACAAAAAGAAAAGAAACAATATTTAGGGACAGAAACAGGGCCCCTCACAGGGCTGGTGTGAGGGGTAAATGAGTCACTGCGCACAGTCCTCGGACCACGTGGGGCGGTGACTTTTCAGCCCTGTCGCTGCGGGCTGGCAACTTTCAAAACCAGAACACACCATTCTGGAATCAGACTAGGAGGATGGCTGCACAACCTCGTGAATATACATACATATATTTTTAAAGCTAATTTCCTTTTCCTTTTTTTTTCCTTTAACTCTCACCCAAGAATGTGTTTATTGGTTTTAGAGAGAAAGGGAAAGAGAGGTAAAAAACATCAATGTGAGAGAGAGTGAAACTTCAATCAGTTGCCTCCCATATGTGCACTGACCAGGGATGGAACCTGCAACCTAGGTATGTGCCCTGACGGAGAACGGAACCCACAACTTTTTGGTGTATGGGATGACACTCCAACCAACTGAACCACCCAGCCAGAGTATGACTATGTTTTTGAAAGCCACTGAGTTGTACACTTTAAAAGTGTGAATATTATCCCCTGGCTGGTGTGGCTCAGTGGACTGAGCGCTGGACTGAGAAGCAAAGGGTCGCCAGTTCAATTCCCAGTCAAGGCACAGGCCTGGGTTGTGGGCCAGGCCTCCAATAGGGAGCACGTGAGAGGCAACCACACAGTGATTTTTCCCTGTCTCCCTCCCTTCCCCTCTAAAAATAAATAAATATTTTTCAAAATAAAAAAATGAGACCACCCAAGAAAAGGGGACCTTGGTCACCCAAGAAAAAGGGACCTTGATCTCCACATCCTTCTTGGTGGATGGATCTTGGTGGAACAAGACTCCTCTCTCCTCTCACGGGCGATGCAACAGGAGGCCTCGCTGACTGGGTCCCCAACCTGTGCTTCAAGGAACAGGGAAGGTGGGGCCTTTGTGCCGGGACCCCATATGACCAAGGTACCAGACAGCAGACACTCCCCCACAGCCACGACCTCAGGAACACACCACCAACCAGAACCTGCCACCACAGCCAGGCTGCCCGCCCTAGGGCTCTTCCTCGGGGAGCTGCAGCTTCCCTGCTCTTCCATCCACCGCCAGTCTTGGGGGGGCAGGGGGCCGCGAGGGCCACTTCTGAGCAGAGTTCACACCAAAGTTAGGGGAGCTGTCAGCCACTCCCACCCACCTTCCACAAACCCCAGCCCCATCCTCTCCTGTCCCCCAGCCCTAGGCAAACCCCCAGGTCAGGAAACGTGCTCGCAGTCGCGGATGACGGATAGAAACACACAAAGGTAGGCGGGGAGCAACAAAAGGGAAGACACTAGTCCGAGTCCAGATTCCCCCAGACTCTGGTCTGCAGAGAAGATATCTTGCAATACTTTACAGAGAGAGTCGGTGGGTTCTCCATTGGACCCAGATTGGTGGAGCGTTGGCGAAGGAATTCTGGGTAACTCCTAAGTCCCCCAGTGGAAATGGCCTTTCCTTTACTACCCGCCAAGTCACACAAGTAGCCCCCCCAAAAACGGGCTGGACTTCAACCGAGCATTCAGAGACTAAGGGCGGGACGTGGGGCGGTCGGGGGTGGGGGTGGGGGATCCGTGGGGGCACGGGGAAAGAGCCTGTGAGGCCTGCCGGAGCCTGGAAACGGGGCGGGGAGGCGGGGGAGAACTCTGGGGGTCAGGAAGGCAGTGCTGCGAAAGGCACGCACACCCGGACGGGGAGAGGGCTGGCGCCTTCGCAGACCAGGGTGAAGGCCTGGAGGGCAGGATGGGGCAAGGCCAGGGTCAGGATGGGAGAGAATGGGCGAGGCCGAGTTCAGGGCTGGCACAGAAAGAACCCGGGCCGGCCGACGCCAGGGCCGGGGTGGAAAGGATGGAGCGGGGCCGGGGTCCGACGGGAAGGAAGGAGTGGGCTGAAAAGGACGCAGAAGAACCGGAGCCGGGATGGGAAAGCCCGAGCGGGGCCGACGCCGCGGGGCAAGGAGCAGAGCGGAGAGAGGCGCCCGCCGTACCTCTCCGGAGCTGGCCATGTCGAGGTAGGACCGAGCCGCGGCGGCGGCGGGAGCCGCAGCCCCAGGGCCTCACGCCTAGCTGACCAGAGATGCTCAAAGCAGGCGCGTCCGCGGCTCCACAGAGACCCCGGCAGGGGGCGGGGCCTCGCCTCCCTCACTTCCGGCGCCCTCTTACGCACTTCCGCTCGCCCGCCGGCTTGCCCTGCGCGGCCGCCATGTTGGGTGCGGCGCAGCCAACCAGGCCCCACTAAGGCGTGGAGCGAAACTGAGAGGACCCCAGGGGCTCCCTGCTTGCTCTCTGGCCCGATCTCCTAACTTTCATGACTTTAAATTTAAATAGCCACGCGTGGCTCTTGCCCCGTGGGACAGCGCAGCAAAAGTGAAGTCCCGTGAAGGCAGGCACACTGTTTCCATGTTACGGCCGTACCCCCGACCCCTAGCGCTGTGTGTCTGCTCAGAATACACGCTGAAGGATGAATGCGTGAGTGAAGCAGGGCACCAGCCGCTGGCAGGGGTCTCTGAATGATTCCAGCCTTTGTGTCCCTTGTGTGACTTCAGGCCGGAAGGCGTGTTCGAATCCTGACATTTCCTATCCATCTTACCCGCCAAGCCTCAGTTTCCCCACAAGGAAGTGGACTGCCCTGCATCAGCATGACCATGAGCACCCTCCTGCGACCTCAGCACCCGGCACCCGGATGAAGGGAAGGGTCTCGGGCTCGACGCTCCTGCACTAGCCTGGACCCCCTCCTCCCAGACAGGCTTATCGGGGTGCGCTTCTGTCCGGTCAGGCCTGCTTTGAAGAGGAAAGACGTTCCAGCGAGGCAGGTTTCAGCTCATTCAAAAGGTGAACCTCAGGTCCTCAGAGCTGCCTCATGGGGGAGCCAGGCGCCTGAGAAAGGGAGTGGTTCGGATCCCAGGGCCGGGCAGCTGCAGGCGTTAGAGGTAAATTCCACCTTTCCGTCAGACAGAACGGTCGTGTTGATGGACGGGGGATCTGCCCAGGGAAGCAGTGAAGCAGGCGGTGATCGGACTGCCTGTATGTTAGGGTCAAACTCCATCTTCCTCGCTTATGTGTGACCTGGGCCAGCCACCTGTCCTCCCAGAGCCTCATTTCCCCGACCTGTGAATGTGAGCTAAGGGGAGGACAGACGGGCCCCTCCCACTCAGCCTGGCTTGGGAGATGCTGGCCCTTTGCTCCAAGCCAGGCATCAGATGACCGGGCCGCCTGCTGGCCCTGGAGGCGAGGAGCAGGGCATCAAGGACTGCGCAAGTCAGATGTGTGTCTCACCTGCACTTCCAGAACCTTTCACAGGAGAAAACTCCCCCTCAAAACCACCCCTCCAGCTGTTACTGATGCTCCCATCTCCTAAGTGTGCACACGGGCAGTGACCAGTGGCTTCCCGAGGCCTCTGTCTGGGACAAGCGTGCCCAGCACCTACCCAGGTGACTGTCTAGCTCCTGGGCCAACTCAGGGGTCCTTGCCACAGGAGGCCTCTGGGGAAGCCTCGTCCTCTGGAGAGATAGTCCCCATTCACCCGTTGTCTGGGTTCATGATCTTTTACTACCTTTTCTGTCCAAAAAAGGCAAAATGATTGAAGAAAAGAAAGGAACCACTCAAATAGTGGCCGAAGGAAAGAAAGAGGGAGGCGGGGTGGGTCTCTCCCCAGACGGTCAGGTCCTGCAGGGCAGGGTCTGTGTCAGGCCATCCTAGTTGCCCCTGGGCCAGCAAGGGGGGCCTGGATCAGCAAATGCCTGTGGAATAAGTGGCCCAAGTTGAAAACTTCCTTTTAGCTCCCACCAGCGCCCAGGGTGTACCGCCGTGTGCCCCCGCCCCCCGGCCTGGAAGAGCTGTAACCGGCCAAGGAGGGACTTCCTCTCACAGACCCAGTTTCCCAGGCCTCTAAGACTGTGTGCGGTTGGGGAACAGAGACCCAGAAGTTCCAGGACACTCGGCTCCCACCCGCCCTGGGCCAGCACTGCAGGCCAGGGGGACCTGCTGTGCTGGTTTAGGAACTGGACCAGGGAGGCCTGCCCAGATGGGCTAGGTGAGACCAGTCTCCTACTTGGGTTTGGAAGCCATCACAAAGTCTGAGAACAGTCTCCTTCCCTAATCACCTTGCACTAATGGTTAAAATTACTGTCTGAATGCTCCAACTTCTGCTCTTCCTCTGTAAGAGAACCCTTCCAGGGCCACAGTGCCCTTCCAAGCTGGCAGAGGGGAGGGGAGGCCGGGCTTAGCTTTCAAGAGCAGCTGACTTACCAGCAAGGCCAGGGGAACCCCCCCAGGAGCCCAGCTCCTCCTCCTGCAGGGTGTTGGGAGACTGAAACCAGGACCACACTTGGGGGTCCAAGGGTGCACAGGAAGGCGTCCACCTTCCAGCCCCAAGGCAGAATCCTGACACCCCACCCCCAGAGCCTTCTCTGCCCGACCTGACACCCTCACCCCAGCCCTGGAGACAGGGCCCAGCCCTGCAGGCCCCTAGGAAGTCCCTTTGGCTGTGCAGGACCCCTCCAGGGGAGCTTGTACTAATGGGCTGGGACCCTGTCCTCAGCCTGGAGTGTGGTCTACAAGCCGCCACTGTCCCTTTCCCAGAGGACAGGAGGACCAGCTAAGGGAGCCTCATTCAGGTGGTGCAAAGGTACCCACCCAGTCCCAGGAGTCGTGTGGTCTCCAGTGAACAAACTCCACCCTCTCAGAGCCGCCCGCACTCCCAACCTAGAAGGGAAGTGGGGTGCTCGGGAGACAAGTGGGAGGGCAGGCTCAGGGGTTCCCTTCATGGGTCTAGAGGTCAAAATCCTCAATTCCTCCAGAGTCTCCACCCTCAGACACTCAAAGTCCAGGTTCGAGCACCTCCAAACGCCCCCTTGGAAAGTGGGATGGCCTGGTCCCCACCCTTCCCCCAACTCCCCAAGTTGCCCAAAACCCAAGCGAGCCAGGAGAGCAGGTTCCTTTAAGGTGTGCACTTTATTGAACTGGTCTCACGTCAGTGTGCAGGGAAGCCCTGGCTGCCGCCACACCTCTCAGCCCGCTCCCGGGGCCCAGAAAAAGCCTTCATACATGTCAAGTTGGGGACAAAAAGGGGGGCCACGATGGCTGACCATTCAAAATAAAACAAAAAGAACAAGTATTAAGGCGAAGATTTAAAAATTTGGATTACATAATTTACACAAAAGCAACACTATCACCCTCCCCTCTGTGGACTCGGGTGAAGACTGGCCCTTCTTAGAAGTGGGCAGCTTTGGGGCAGGCGAGGGACCTCCTGTAACAATGCATCTCATGGTGTTTGGAATGACTATTAGAAAATGAACAATGTACGATCAGTCCCGGGCCGCACTGCAGAACTTTGGGGATGCTCGCTCCGACACACTGCTGTCGCCTTCACCGTTCCAGTTTTTAAATCCTGAGTCAAGCGCCAAAAAAATTTCAAAAAAACAAACGAAAAAAAAAAAAAGAAACAAAAAACAAATAAAGCCATGCCAATCTCATCTCGCTTTCTGCGCGCAAGTTAGGTTTTTTTGTCAAGAAAGGGTGTAACCAACTGAGTAACAGTCCGCCTAGAAGCATTTGCGGTGGACGATGGAGGGGCCAGACTCGTCGTACTCCTGCTTGCTGATCCACATCTGCTGGAAGGTGGACAGGGAGGCCAGGATGGAGCCGCCGATCCACACGGAGTACTTGCGCTCAGGAGGCGCGATAATCTGGGGAGAGAGGGACAGCGTGAGGACCCTGGATGGCGCCACAGGGGCCCAGCCTGCCAGGCCAGACAGCCTGACACCCCACGTGCCCAGGCCGGCTCAGGCTGGGTGCGCACTCACCTTGATCTTCATCGTGCTGGGGGCCAGGGCCGTGATCTCCTTCTGCATCCTGTCGGCGATGCCGGGGTACATGGTGGTACCCCCAGACAGCACTGTGTTGGCATAGAGGTCCTTACGGATGTCCACGTCACACTTCATGATGGAGTTGAAGGTAGTTTCATGGATGCCACAGGATTCCATGCCTGAAGGGAAAGACCCAACTTAGCTTTCCAGTGGGGCCACCACAGTGGCGGCCCTGGGTGCGGGGGCAGGGAGGCCTCACTCACCCAGGAAAGAAGGCTGGAAGAGAGCCTCGGGGCAGCGGAACCGCTCGTTGCCGATGGTGATGACCTGCCCATCGGGCAGCTCGTAGCTCTTCTCCAGGGAAGAAGAGGACGCAGCGGTGGCCATCTCCTGCTCGAAGTCCAGGGCGACGTAGCACAGCTTCTCCTTGATGTCACGCACAATTTCCCGCTCGGCCGTGGTGGTGAAGCTGTAGCCGCGCTCCGTGAGGATCTTCATGAGGTAGTCAGTCAGGTCCCGGCCAGCCAGGTCCAGACGCAGGATGGCGTGGGGGAGGGCGTACCCCTCGTAGATGGGCACTGTGTGGGTCACCCCGTCACCGGAGTCCATCACAATGCCAGTGGTGCGGCCAGAGGCGTACAGGGACAGCACGGCCTGGATGGCCACGTACATGGCTGGGGTGTTGAAGGTCTCGAACATGATCTGCAGGGAGACATGGGCCTTGTCACACTCAGGAAGCCACCAGGGAGGGACAGGCAGGCAGGCCGGACCAGGGACATGCAGAGAGTGCAAGAACACAGCTAAGTGTACTAAGGACCCTGGGACAGGGAGTCACTTCACACCTACTGTGCACCTACAAAATACACACTCCAAGGCCACTTTTACATCAGCCTTGGTGGCTTTGTCACACGAACCAGTGTTAGTACCTACACCCACAGCACTTTGTACTTTAAAACGCCTAGTCAGAAAAGCAAACACAAAAAAAGGACTCCATCTGGGGAAAAGCAAATAGAACCTGAAGAGTTCCAAAGGAGACTCAGGTCAGAGAAGAAAGTCCTAGGAGAACGGCAGAAGAACAAGAAGTAAGAAAGGGCGTGGCACAGAAGAGCCACAAAGGGTGTGGCCAGCCCCGAAGGCCAACAGGCTACTGACCTGGGTCATCTTCTCACGGTTGGCCTTGGGGTTCAGGGGGGCCTCGGTGAGCAGGACGGGGTGCTCCTCGGGGGCCACACGCAGCTCGTTGTAGAAGGTGTGGTGCCAAATCTTCTCCATGTCGTCCCAGTTGGTGACAATGCCGTGTTCGATGGGGTACTTCAGGGTCAGGATGCCTCTCTTGCTCTGGGCCTCATCGCCCACGTAGGAGTCCTTCTGACCCATGCCCACCATCACGCCCTGCAGAAGCAGCGACAAGGTGCCCTCAGCATGGGCACAGCCCCACCAACCCTCACCCACACAGAAAGCCAAAGGCCTCTCTCCTGGAGAACCTAGGCCTCATCCTCCGCCTGCTCCAAGAGCGGACCCCACCCACCAAATCAGACCCAAGGCTGGCGCCCTACCTGGTGCCGGGGGCGCCCCACGATGGAGGGGAAGACGGCCCTGGGGGCATCATCGCCCGCGAAGCCGGCCTTGCACATGCCGGAGCCGTTGTCGACCACGAGCGCAGCAATATCATCATCCATGGCGAGCTGCGAAAGCAGGGCCATGAGCCTAGGTCGGGTGGGGCCGCCCCCGCCCTGCCCACTTCCGGCGCGCCACACCTTCTGGCCGCCAGGGGGCGCCGACGCGCGCCCAGATTGGGGACAAAGGAAGCCAGGCCGGCTGCATTATTACCATAAAAGGCAAACGCTGGTTAGAGGCGGCCCCACAGCGCCCGGCAGGAAGCCAGGCGCTCCGCCCCGCCCCAGCCCCGTTCAAAAGGAGCCGGCTGGCCGCGCGGAGGCCACACCCACGGGAGCCGGCACCGCGGATAAATGTGCGCAGGCGCTCACGCGCCCCAGCGACCCCACCCCTTCCGGCAGGCCTCCCCACCCTCGCCCGGGTCCCGGCTCCCGACCCTAGCGCGCACGCGCAAACGCAGGAGCACGCGCAGTCCGGTCCTGGTCCCCAGCCCCCACCCGGCCAAGTGAGGCCCCCCCACCGCGCCCACCCACCCACCCGGCTGCCCAGCGAACTAACTAGCCACTCGAACAAAGGCCCGCGGCCGCCCCGGGTGTGCGGCAGCACCAGGGGGACGCGCCGGCAGGGCAGTGCAGCCGGGCCAGGAACGAGGTTAGCATAAGCCTCACTCCTTGCGCCCAGGCGCTTTCCACGGGGCAGGAGCGAGGGGCGCCGCCAGCCCAGGTAAGGCGAGGGCCCGGCGCGGATCTGCGCGCCCGGCCGGCCCGGGTGCTTACCTGGAGGTGGAGTAGACCGGCGAAGGCGAAAGAGCGGCGAAGGCGAGAAGCCTGTGCTGACCGGTGGACGAAGTCGCGGCAGTGGCTGCGCGTCGCGCTGCCGGGTTTTATAGGGCGGTGCGGTAGCCGCTCGAGCCATAAAAGGCAACTTTCGAAACGGCGAGCGCTGATTGGCCCCACGCCGCTCACTCACCGGCCTCGGCGCACAGTGCAGCATTTTTTCACCCCCTCTCCCCTCCTTTTGGGAAGAAAAAAAAATGAGAGAGGGACTGGGAGAGAGCGAGAGCGAGATTGAGGAAGAGGAGGAGGGAGAGTTTTGCCGTTGGCCGCCCTAGGGTGCTGGACCCTCGGGCCAGGGGTGCGCGCCGTGGGCCACCGCCCCGCGTGGCAGTGCTCAGTGCGGCCCTGCAAGGCAAGGCTTGCACCGGCCTGTCTCTCCGTGCCCCCCAACCCCGGGGACCCTCTGGGTGTGGATGTCACATGAGCAGTGAGCTCCCCCGTGGGCACAAGGGTTAACACGGATGTGAGGGTCTCTGTTGGCATTTGGGGTGCATGCTTAAGTTTAGTAGCAGTTGTGGCCAAAGGGATGGTCAGGGAGTCACTCCCCCCGCGTTGCCAACATTATCTCAACTAGTCAGCCTGGGTGGGGGTGGGGGCTCTGGCTGGGGGTGCTCAGCTTACTAAGTGGAGGTGATTACTACCCAGAGACCTGGTGTGATAGGGGGGAGTCAGGGCCACTGTCCCCAGGGACAGTGCAGCCCCAGAGGCCAGTGCCTGGAAGTTGCACTTGAAGAGGGCTCCCAGGCTGCCGGGCTGCAGGCCTGGAAAGGTGGGCTCCCTAGAGCAGAAACTGTTGCCATGGAGCCAGGCTGCCTCTGAGGGCTGCCTGGTCACACCCAGCCAAGGCCAGGGCTGGGCCGTAGCCTGGCTGGTCACCCAGGCAGCCGTCAGGCACTGCTGGGCTCAGGCGGGCAGGATGCTCAGTGCAGCTCTGGGGCCCACCATCCATTGTCTGTCCTGTGGAGCCACAGCTGAACTGCCCTCCTGGCCCATCTGGAGGTCCCCAAGGGCTGGAGAAGGACATTGCATGAGCCACAGATGAGTTGGGGGTGGGGTGCGGCAGGAACAGTAGCTAAAGGCCAGCTGCCGTCAGAGAAGACCCTCTCCTTGTCACCCTTTACTGCCCTGTGTTTCTGTAAACACTTGGTGAGACCTGGGTGCCCTGTTCTACATGGGTGGTTCCCTGCTCTGAGAGCTGCCGGTTTGGCAGGAAGAGCCTGGACCCAGATGGTGGCCGATGCAAGCCCAGGGGACTGTGGGACCCCAGAGAGGCACCTGGATCAGCTTGGAGGACACAGGCACCTCCTTAGAATTGGTGACAAGAAGATGAGTTTCCACACGAAGGAGCACAGCAGAGAAGGCCTAGCTGTCGGCGCTGGCCCGGCACGCCAGCCTGTCTCCAGCCTGCCCGGGGCTCTGCAGCGCGAACTAGGTGTTCATTGAGCTAGTGCTGAGGCCAGTGACCAGTCAGTCCATATATGGGTGTGGAATGTGTGTCCAGGGAAGAGGTGGCTCGGTCCGGCCCACAGGAGGAAGCGGGTAGCAGGTCTCTTTGAAGGTTGCAGAGGCCACAAGTAGGTGGACAGGGCCACCATCACCCAGCACACAGCAGAGCCCGCAGGCGCAGAGCCGCAAAGGAACATTCCCAGAGAGCTGCCAAGAAACTCCAGCTCCCCGCCACCACCCCGGCCACAGGCAGAGGCTCCCAGCCTGTCCACCGCTTCCTCCTGAGGGCCAGACTGCTCTGTTCCGGGCCTCGTGTCTCTCAGTCACAGGCCTCTGGGCAGCCACCTGGGGACCTGCCAACCCTGCGATTCAGGGACTGGTTAGGTGGGGGGTGACCCTTTCTGCTGCCGGCTAATGAGCACCTCTTCTGGTGGTTCACTGAGCCTGGAGGGGCGCTGGGCAGGCTGGGACCAGGGCCACAGGGCACAGGATGGGAGACTTCGACTCGGGTGCCTGCGGGAAACTACATGGGGTGGAAAACACACCTGGTCCCCATGCCGCCAGGCTTGGGCTGCCACCGCACCTCTTAACCAGGGGCCGGCCAAGGGGCAGGACCAGGGCCACCCGACCAGCCTCAGACTGAAATAGTCCTGCGCTCTCCTATGCACCCTGCAAGGCCCAGGCCGGAAAGCCCCTCCTCAGCGGGAGCCCTTAGCATCTGCAACGCCCACCCTCCCCCACCTAGAACCTCCGCACTGGGCCCTGGGCCCGCATGCGGCCGGCTTCCGCACCAGACTGCTGCGTCTCAGCCCCTCGTTCCTTCAGTCGCCCCTCCCCAGCGCCTGCTGCTGTGTGCTGGGGGCGGGCAGTCTCTCTTCCCCTTCTCAGCCTCACCTCTGATTCTGCCTCTGAGAAAGGGAGCGTGGAGTCCATTCTCAACCCGCTTTCCCAGGGTCTCCAACCACCCACCTCCCCGCACCGTCCCCACCCCAGGGCCCTGCTGTGCTGAGTGTGTAAGGGACCGCCGGGGTGTATCCTCAGGCCTCGGAACAGGCCCAGGGCAGATGGGGGGTGGGGGGCACGGGCCTCGCCGAGGGGAGGGGCCGAGGGGAAAGACCGGCAGAGGGAAAAGAGGAAGCGCAGCCGGCGGAGGAAGGGGGCGGGGACTGCGGGCAGGAAGTGAACAGGTTCTTCTCCGCTTGGGAACTTTGTCCTTGCAGGGAGTTTCAGAGCCGTCGCCACCGGGGCTGGCACAGCCCACCCAGCTCAGCCAATGGGGACTCCACCTGCCTGTCTGGTGCTTTTGTTCCTCTCGCAGCTCCCCCACCTGCAGAGACCTCCGGAGGGCATGCACCCCCTCACCGAAACCGGCCACCTTGTCTTTACCCTTCTTCTGGGTGCTAGAACCCCACTGTGCCCCCCCAACCCCAGGCAGGGACCCCCCCCAAGGTCTTTTTCTCCAGAGGAAGAAGTGGGGGTGGGCCTGAGAAAGGGAAGAGAAACTCTCCCTAGCCCCCACCCCCACACAGTAAGTGCTCCATGAGGGGTAACTGAACGGAGGAGGGGACAAAACGTTCAGCAGACGCACCCCCTGTTTACGGATAAGGAAACTGAGGAAGGAGTGGTGCCCTGCCCAGGCTCAAGGTCCACTGCCAGGGGCTTTGGGAGGCCTCGAGCTGCCCCTCCCGGGGTAAAGGGCCTTGGGGCACCTCCAGGGGCTGGGTCCACAGACTGCTCCCAAGTCCGAATTCCTGGGCCCCACCTTGGTCCCCAGTGCTCATCTCCCGAGGCCCAGAGAGGACAGCCACCGGCGCTTGGTCACACAGCAGTGGGTCCTCAGGGCCTGGGCCTGCTCTTTCCCGTGGCCTCTTCCCTCTGCACCCCTCCCCTGCTCCCGCGTTGGCTCAAGAGAAAATTCTGGACCTCAGGACTCCTGAGGCCCTGGGAGGGGCTGGACTTGGGGTTCCTATGCCTCCTGCCCGACTTCGCCACAAATTTCCAGGGTCAGCTCTTGGGCTGCCCCCTCTAGGAAACCTGCCAGGACTTCTCCCCTCTTCTATCATAACAGCACCAGCTTTCCTGCTCAGAGAGGGGAGGCCACGCAGTCAGGGTCACACAGCAGAGCGCAGCCGGGAGCCGGACCTCCGGCACCACACTGCCCCCGCATCCAACCAGCCAGCACCAGCCGGTCAGGCACACGCCCAGGGCAGCACCCCGAACACAGCAGGGGTGACCCCTGAGACAAACCTCCCGAGGAGACCGCCGAAGAGACCAAGCCCTGGGGCCTGGGAAGGGCAGTGGCGACAGGCTTCCCTAGGGAAGAGGGAGCCCCAGCCCCCGGAGGGTGCCCAGCCCTGAAGTGGGGCCGGGGCGGGGGGGGGGGGGCGGGCCCAGGGTGCTCTCCTGGGCAGCAGCCAGCACCGTGGTCCCCTCTCCGGGCTGTCCAGGGCTCAGCCCGGCCTGGGCATCCCCTGAAGGAGCCAGCACAGAAGGGGGATCCCTGCCCTGGAAACTGGGAACTTACGACACGTCTTCGGAGAGTTTTTTAAAATCCTTAAAAACTACCCCTTCTCTTCCTATGCCCCAGGGGTGGGCAGAGAAAGGGCCGGGGACCCCCCCAACCCTGGGAGTTCCCAGCCCAGCTTCCTTGATGGAGGTTTTCAGAATGAGAACAAGGTGCCCTGGGCTTCCCCCCCAAAAGGCCAGCCGTTCTCTTCCTTCTCCCCAGACCCTCCTGCTGGGCGGGGCTGGCTGTCCCCATTCTCCCGATGAGACCCGAGGTTCCCCAATTGGACCCCCAGGGCTGGGCAGCGGAGGACTGTCCAGGGCCTGAAAACTCTGGGGGGGCAGGCGGCCCAGCCTCACAGGCCTCCCCACAGTTGTGGTTCCAGGAGAAGCAGCCTGGAGCAGGTGGAGACCTGCCCAGAGTCACTTAGAGGTCAAGGCCAGGCTCACCACTGTGATAGCTCAGACCAAGTTGGGTGGTGGCGTCAGCAGCAATTTCAAGTTCAGGCTGAGAGGGGTTCTGGAGACGCCTGGTCCTGACAGCCGGGGTGTCAGCAGACACACCATCAGCGAGCGCACAAACTGGGGGCCCTGCTACACCGATCCCACGCCTCGGGCCGCTGGCCCTGGGCTGCTAAAAAGGGCAGAGGGGCTTCTGGCGGGGGGGGGGGGTGCTGGGAACAGTCAGTGATGTGGGGTCTGCCGTCCCAGGCCCTGGGCTGGGCACCCAGGGAGTTCAGGGTCGGTGCTAGGTGCTAGGGCCTCACCCCCTTTCTAGCTGGGTGACCTCATCCCTGACCCCCCCCCCCCGCCTGGCCCAGGAGTTTGGGGGGTGGAGGTCCCCTGGGGGGGACCGAGGAAGTGAAAGGGGAACAGGCGGGGAGGGGGATTGGGAAAGTGCAGGTGGGCGGGACAGTGGCTGAGTCTTGGCAGCTGACTCACCCAGGTCCCCAGCTCACCCACCTCGGGCGGCGGGCGAAACCTGCCCCCCCACCCCCCAGGGGACAAGGGGAGGCAGGGTGCCCAAAGCCCCGCGGTGACCAAGGCTGGGCCTGTGCCCGCACGCAGAAAACTCGGGGCCAGCTAAGCTGGAATCTCCCTATTTCTCAGACAAACAAACTGAGGCGGTGAGGGTGGGAGGCTCCGCCCCACAGCGAATAGCGTGCTGGGACGTGAATGTACTGGCACCGAGGAGTCCGGGGCCCACTGTGGGGGTGGGGAAGGCCACAGCGCACCTTGAGGGCACCCCCGCCCGGGCGTCCTCCGCCTCAGTGGGCACTGTTCGCAGCCCCGAGTCCCCGTGGGCAACCTGAGACCCCGGCGGCCAGGAAGCAGCAGCAGAAGCTGCCCCCCACCACCCGCCGCCCTGCCTGGGGCACACACGGGGCCCCACGTGGGGCACTTGTCAGCTGCTGCCACTCCTCTGGCCGCGGGTCCTGGGGCCCGTCCAGGCGGAAACCCGATCGGTCTTGGCCGCGGCGCCGTGTAACCAGGCCCTCCCCAGCCGGCAATCTCAGCCGCCGGCAGCCTTGCCAGGGACCCAAGCGGGTCCCACGGCCTAGGCTTCCTGACATCTCCCCTGGGCCCAGTCCCGTGCCGGCTGCTCGGCACACGAGGGGACCCCCTCCCCGAAGCCTGCACTGTCCCCCGGGGATGGTCCGGACTCGGTGACACTGGTCCTGTGCGAGCCCAGAGAAGGCCCTGGACGCATGGGCTTGGGTTTGATGCGCCAGGCGAGGAGGGTCCCCCTGGCCCACCGGCCACTGTTTGGGGCTGGGGGACAGCAGCCAGGGCTCCTCGCCTCATTCCCTGGGTCACCGGGGAGTAATGTTGGCTGTTTCATTAAGTCGCCTGGGCTGCTGAGTCCCAGACCCGCAGCACTGGGGGTGACAGTGGGGGACACAGAGATGTGGCTGAGGACACGGGTACCAGAATACGTAGGGGCGAGGCGGGGGGCTCAGACCAGGCCCAGGCAGGACGCAGCAGTAAGCCCCCTGTGCACAGGGCCGGGGGGGGGCACACCGCACCCTCGGTGAAGCCGGAAGAAAGAGCCCCCCAGAGCGGCCGGGGTGTCCAGGAGGGAATGCGGCACCCCCGCTGCCCCAGCTCTCTCTCTCTGAGCCACTTCCAGGCTCTGAGCTGACGGCATTCAGGCCCGTCACTCAGCCCCTGGATGTCCTGGGTAGGTGACTCAGCATCTCTGAGCCCACCAGGGTTGGACCACGTGGGGCTGGCACCTCCCGGGTGGGCCTCCCGGGCCTCTCGGGGGTTGTCACCGACACCCTGAGAGCCGCCTCCTCACCAAAGCAGAAACCAAGGCCTAGGGTGGCGGGGCTCCCCCGACCTCACCCAGCATGGTGGTGAACCAGACACTGGGCCCCGAGGGGCTGGGGACGCTGCATTCTGTGTCCCACTGGGAGGGCCGGGCTGGTCTGTCCAGGATGGGGCAGGGCCCCTCTGCAAGGCCAGAGATGCTGGTGGCTCTGAACCACGTGAGTGGGCCCAGCTGCCCCAGCGGCGAGGCGCCCACAGCAGCTGGACCCAGCCCTGCTGACATGCACCGCCTCATGGTCACCCCTCCCAGAGACAGACGTCAGGGCCCGCAGAGGGTCAGGCTGGGGTTGGGGAAGGCTCCTCGCCAGCCCCTACTTGCTCCCAAGGCCCCACCTGATGTCCCTGCAAGCGGGAGTGGGGGTGGGGCAGGGCCACGCTGGTTCATCTTGTTCCCGGCGCGCCGCGGGCAGCAGCGAGATAGCGGAAGGCGATGGAAGGTTATGTGTCCGGCTCTGTCCTCTCCCCTACTGAGGACACGGCCGAGCTGGGTGAGTGGCCTTGGGAGAGTGGCTCACCTATGTCACAGAGCTGTAGGGAGGGGACAGGAGAATGACCAGAACGGCTCAGGCTGGGCCCGGCCAGAGCAAGCACAGAGAGAACCATACGCTGATGACCTTGGTTGGGCCAGAGGTACCCTGTCTCTGCGGCACGAAGGCCCTGGTGCCTCGACTTCCTCCCAGGCTTGCTGGGGGCTGCAGGGGGGAGGGGGCTCCGAAGGGAAGGGGAGTGCGCCCCTCCAGGTTGGCTCCCTCCCACCTCACCCGGCACACAGAGGGGGGGGGCCCAGGAGGGGTGGGCGGCTGCCTGCGGCTGCCACCGCCTCCCCCTCCCCCCATCCTTCTGGACTGTGTGTCCAGTGGAGAAGGCTGGGCAGTGCTTGGGCAAGCGGGCCGGCGTGGGGGTGAGTGGAAGCCTTGAACGATGGCTTTAAACTAAAGGCCGCTCCGATCTGCAATCTTTGTAAAGATAAAAAGAAGCGCAGCACCATGGGTCATCCGGAAAACGCAACAAACTGAAGCCACACAGATAGCGCCGCACACCCACCCGAGAGTGAGAGCAAAGTTCGCGAGGAGCGGAGCGGGCGTGAGAAGCTGTGTGGCCCGCTGCCGGCGTGACCCCGCAGTTCCCCTCCCGGGTGTTTATCCGAGGACACGGGTGCACACGGCCTCCGAAAGGCAGGTGCAGAAGTGGTCCCGGAGGTTCCTCTGCCCTACACAGACGTTCACCAGGGCCCCCCAAACCCCAAACACCCTGAAGGCACATCAGCAGCGGAATGAAGAGATAAGACTTGGCGTGTTCACACAATGGAACAAACTCCCGATCACGCAACACGTGGCTATCAGAAACGTGCTGAGCAAAAGAGGCCAGACGGAAAAGAGCGGTTCCGTGTGACCCGGGGATCAGAGTGTGAGGACAGGGAGGGAGCCCGGGAGGCTGGAGTGGGGACAGCGGCTGCCCTTGGGGAGCACTAACTGGGAAGGGCGTGGGGGCGGGGCTCTGGGAGCTGGAAGTGTCTCTTGACCCCCATGGGCGCTGGGTACATGGAAGTAGTCACTTTGTGGCAATGCGTGTAGCTGCCCACCAGGGACGTGTGCACTTTCCTAAGACAGCAGCTAGGTAGGGAGTATGGTCCCACCAGCCCTGCCAGCCCGGGGTCCTCAGCCCCAGACCCCCGCTGTCTCGGTTCTTCATGCTTGCTGTTCACACTCAGTCTACAAGTCTTGGGAGGGGGGTGGCCCTTCTCCCCAAGCCCCTCCCAAAACACTCTTTTTGCTTCTTTAAGTTCTGTGTGTTCTTCAGGGATCAGTGGAAACGTTATCTCCTCCAGGAAGCCCTCCCGGATTCCCAGGCAAGGGCACGGCCCTCGTGGCTCCCGCGAGCGTCATGCTCCTCGCGGCGGAGAATCGGATGTATCTGTGTGATCGCAGGTCTCCTGTCTCCCTGTGGCTCCACGGGCAGGACCGCGTCTGTTTGGCTCACTGCGGGATCCCCGGTGTGGAGTTAGCGCAGGTTTTGGTCTCCATCTGCAGATGGAAGGAAGGAGGGAGGGAGGAAGGGAGGGAGGAAGGAAGAGAAGAGGGGACTGGGTTCTGTACAAAGGGAGACAGGAAGCGGGAGGGGATGCGCTGTCTCCCGAGGGTGTGTGCGTCCTGTCCCAGGAGGGCGTGGGCACGGCGGTGGATCCGTGGTTTTCTGGGGCTGCCAGAGCCGGGGAGGAAGGGGCTGGGCGGCGGGGCTGGGCTCAGGACTCACACCTTCCAGGGGTGTTGGCAGGGGAGCAGGGGAGGGGGAGCGTCACAGGAAGTCCTCAGGTCCCCGGGCTGCTGCTGACTCACCCAATCTGATCATACAGGTGAGACTCCAGCCTTGTTCTCCACAGGGGTGTGTGTGTGGGGGGGGGAGTCACGGCAGGAAACAACTGTCTGACCTCCTGAACCAGACCGCCGCCCCCCCGCCCCCTTCCCGGCCTGCAGGTCTGGCATGGCTTTCCAGAGCAGGGTGTTTGAGAGCTGGGCCTTGCAGTTTGAATAGGAGTCCACCGAGGAGAACTCTAGAGAGGGCTCGGACAGAAGGCCTTGCTGGGAGAGCTGCGGACGCCTGAGGTGACTGGGCGCTTCGGCAGTTGGGTCTGTGGGAACCTCAGTGGGAAGATCCGGCCAGCCTGGAGCTGGCCATTTCCCGTCTAGACAGGCCCCGTAGAGCCCACGGAGGCCCCACCTGGGAAAGAGGCCGACAAGTGAGCTGGGGTGGGATGGGCCTGTGGTGGGGGAGCCCTCGCGACCCCCCGGACACAGCTTCCCCGGCAGAAGGGGGTCAGAGGGGGCCGTGAGTCCTTACCCCTTGGGAGGAACACACCAGGCCTTGAATTCTGGTCCCACTGCGCGGATGGGGACACTGCGGTGGGCACGGACACAGCTTAGACTCACAAACCCTGGGTCAAGCTTGGATTCTGGAGCCCAAAGCACGAGAGTCAGGCCCTCCCGGGGGCTGGACACCCCACAGTCACAAGTCCGCTGGGCCAGCCTGAGGGACCCAGCGCTGGGAGCGCCGGGAGACCCACAAGGGACTTGCTGGGAACCGGGATCCGGACCTCCGCACCCGGCCTCCCAGGTGACCTCTGCGCTTCCTTCCCCCAACGCTGGCCGGGCACCCCTTTCTCTCCGCCGGCCTCAGCCCTGGACCAGCCAGGGCCACCCGCTGCGGGGCCACACAGCGAAGCCTGTGGCCTTGGAGCTCAGCCAGGAGGAAACGGCGCTCCGTGGGCCTGCCATGAGCTGGCATCCAGCACGTCTGGGGCAGGCGTGTCTCAGAGGGCCGGCAGCGACAGGAGCGGGGACTTTGTCCCGCAAGGGTGACCGGGAGCCCTGGAGGCTGGAGGAGCAGGGCGAAGTCTGCGGCTGCAGCAGACGGCTCCCCCGACCAACTCTGCCGCCTCTGGCCCGGCACCAGCCTGGGTTGGGAACACCAGAGGAGTGAGAGTAACGAAGTACGAGTCGTGAGTGGCTGGCATGCTCTGGCACTTCTCTGATGCTCTAGAATTTGATTGAGTCCCCGGGTCTCCCGAGAGGTGGGCAGGGCCACTTTCAAAGTGCTGCTCAGGCTTTGCAGGGCCCGAGGCCGAAGCTGGGCAGTGGGCCATGCTCACCTGGAGGAGGCGCTCACCTGTGGGCCTCCGGGAGCCAGGCCCTGTTTGGCTGCCCATCCATTGCCCCGAGAAGGTCCCCGGAGTCACAGGCCAGGCTCAGAGGAGTGGGGGGACGTGCCCAGGGTCCCCTACACACACCCTGTGGGGAGATGGCGGGTCGGGGCAGGCTGCCATGTCTGTGACTCTGGGGGACACGCTCTGCCCGGAAGGGCCTGCTCTCTCAGCTGTGGAATGAGTGGGATCAGAACCGGGGTGCAGGGAGGGCAAAGCTGGGGTGCGCTGGGGCCAGAAGAGCGCCCCACGTGGCTCCCCGGCCAAAAGATGCCCGCCTGCCTGCCGTGGGGACTGCCGCTCTGCTCCCAGGGGGCCGAGGTCCGGGGGGCCTCTCTGAGGAACCTCCCACAACGGTGGGCTTTGGGGATCGGGGTGGTGCAAGGAGGAAGGGAAGTGGATGAGCTGAACTTCCTGGCCCCGGGGCCCCCTGAGCAGAGGACAGAGGACAAAGGGCAAAGGGCCAGGGCTGTCGTCTGGCCTCTCCCTGTCAGCAGGAGCCACTTGCATGGCATTATCTAGACTTCATGGGGACAGCCACCTCGACCGGAGGGCGCCGGGCGGGGCCCGCATTCCAGCCTAGCTCAGCAGCTGTGCGCGCTGCTCCCCCGCCCCAGCCTGAGGGCAGGGGCCTGAAGCAGGTGTGGTCACCGGTGAGAGAAGAGGCCCAGAGACCTTTCAGAGCGCCCTACTCGGGAAGGTCAGGGTCACGGAACTTGCCCAGGGCTGGCCCGGAAGAGCCCTCAGGCCTCAGGCTGCACGCCCACTGACCTCCAGCTCTCAGGCTGGCTGGAGCCCCCCCCCCCCCCCCGGCCCGAGGACCGAAGCGCAGACCTCTGCACACCCGGGGCTCTGCCCCGCCACCTGGGCCTCAGTGTGTCCATCTGCATGAGGGGGCCCAGTGACCTCAGGCTGGACTCCCAGGAATCCCAGCTGGACAGTGGACCCCCTGTTGGGGCAAAATACGGGGTTCCCAGAATCCCACAGCCACTCACAGCCCTCCCCCTGGGCCCCGCCAGGGCCCCGCCAGGGCCGCAGGTGGGGGCAGTTGAGGACGCTGGAGGGGACACTGGGCCACAGGCCAGAGACACCAGAAGGCTCTCCCAGGTGGTGGGAGGGAGGGGTCTAGGTCTGAGCAAACCAGAGACCCATCGGGACACCCCAGACAGGTAACTGTGGGGGGAGGGCGGGGCGGGGGGCAAGGTACGCCTGGTCAGACCCACTTCCCAGAGGCCTTCCAGCCCGGCTCAGCTGGCGCCCAGGGCCAGGGACTGGCTCCGTCACGGGGTCCAGGCCCCCTCCCCTCCCCCTGGCCCGGGGCCTGGCCAGAGCTGCGGGTGGGGCGGGGTGGTTATTATCTGGTGCTCCCAGGCCCGCAGGGCTCACGTGGCCCATCTCAGAGATAAACTGGCCACCTCTTGTTCGAGTCCTGCGCGGGTCGCTCCGGGCTAGAGCTCCGCACAGGCCCCAGCCGCCCCCACCCCGCCCCTCCCGCAGCCCAGCCCACTTGGCCCAACTTCCTCTCCATAAAAGGCGAGGTTTGGGAGCGCCCCTGGAGGGGACGCAGGGCCCGCAGAGGAGGTTTGCCTGGGCCTCCCCGGCCTTGCCCCCCCTCCCCGCCCCCCTCCCCCCCCCCGCCCGGCGTCCGCCTGGGGGCCCAGCCTCTGGTTTTTCTAAATCCCGGCCTCGCCCCTCCCCCTCTGGGTCCCAGACTGGGAGCTGCCCCAAGCCCCCGCTGTGTACAGCGTCGCAGTAAACCATCACGCTGTCCCCAATTTGTACTTGAGCAAACTGAGACCCGCCGCGCCGCGGAGTGCGGCCCGGGCGCAGTGCTGGGCTGGGGGCGGGGTGGGGGAGGGCGCTGACGAGTATCAGGAAGCTGCAAACGTGCCCAGGGCGTCACGCTGCCACTCAGCTCCTGGGAGATGCCTGGCAATTCTAATTTTGCGTGGGGTGCACATGCACGTTAATAGCTCCAGGATCCGGGTATCCCCTCCGAGGCATAAAAAAGTCGGGCCCCTAGCAACGCCGGTCAGCTCGCCTGTGACCTTGGGCCCGTCACTTTGCTCACAGCCTCGCTTTGCCCACCTGGTAAGCGGGGGGATGATTTCCATCCCCCGAGTTTGTGCAAATACGAAGGAGGACCCGCGGCCGGCCGGGCGCAGATTACAGCGAAGGGAAGGGGAGGGGGCGCAGCTGCTTCCGGCCGGCACCGCCCCACCCGAGCACCCCTCCCAGGAGAGCCCGCGTGTGGGGTGCGAGGCGCCGGACACAAGCCTATGCTCCCTCCGGGGCTGCTGCGAGGAAGAGCAATAATGGGCACCTGGAGACAAACAGTGGGCGCTCAATAAAGGCAGCTGCCCATCCCTCCCCACCCCAGGGAGTGTGAGTCATCTGTATCTTGGCCCTGGGCTGGGAAACCGGGCCTTTGGGTGTCATCTGGCTCCACCCTGCAATACGTGTGACCTTAATAGTCTGCGCCCGTGCGTCTCCGGGCCTCAGTTTCCCTCTCCGTACACTCAGGAGAGGCTGGACCGGGCCATCTGGAGGCGGGTGCTGTGGCGCCCGGTCGGGGAGCGCTCGCGCTCGTGCCGCAAAGCCCGGGGCGGGGCGCTCCCTCCCAGCCCCCCGCCCGCAGTCTCGGCCGCCCCTCGCAACCACGTCCGCTGCCCACGAGGCCGCCATAAAAGGCAAAGGTGGCAGGTCGCGGAGCCGAACTTAGTCATCGGGCCCGCAGGCTGCCCGGCGCGCTGCGCGGTTTCCTCCCTGAGCTTCCCGTTTGCGGAGGGGCCGGGGGAGGGGTCCCAGGGGCGGCCGGGCCTTTCGAAACGCTCCGGCTTCTCCCGAGGGCAGCGGGGCCCGGGGGCGGGGTGTGGGGCCTGGCCTGGGTGTGGGGGCCGGCGGGGGGCGCCCTCGGAGAAGCCGGGGCGCCTGGCCGTGGGGAATCCCCAGGTTGGGGACCCGCGGCGGACGGCCTCCCACCCTTCCCCCGCCGGCCCGCGGCGTTTTAACCCTGAAGCTGCCGGACAGCCGGCAAAGGCGCGAGTGGGGCGGGCTGAGCCGGGAGCGGGCGCCTGGCCCAGAG